GAGAACTGGGGCATTTTAAAATCCCCAGTCCATTCGATTTGAAGCATTGGAGATTGTTAAAATGCAAGGGCACTCAGGGCCGGTCTCCAGTATCTATAGTACTCACCAAAAACTGGATTTCTCAACTTATTAATGAGGAAGGCCTGCCTCTGAGGGTTAGAGAGTCAGAATAGGTAGAGCTTGAAGGAGAGTACAGGGAAAAAAGGGTCAAGTGTAGGTTATTGCCAGATTAGGGGAACACACTATCACAAGTCTGTTCTGACTGGAAGAAAGAGACAGGCAGCAGAAATGCCGAGGGTAAGCTCTCTCTAGGCCACAGCTTGAGGAATAACTCACTCTAAGTGTCACTCAGGCTCTTACTGCTGGTGGAGAGAAAAATCTCACCAGATGCTTAACAAGGCTAGACTGGATGATTTCCTTTTAGTCTAGATCCATTTTGCTCTAAACAACTGCTTGACCAAACCTCTCATCCCCACTCACAGAGCTCAGTAGTTGGAAGGGCACTGGATCATATCATTGCAGCACTCAGAGCCCAGCCCGGACGCAAGCCTTGTGGTTCTAAATCTTGTCCTTCCAAAGGCAGAGGCGAGTTTAATCCTCACTGGACTCATATGATTGCTCTGGGCCGGAGTTACCCAAACTTTAGTCATTCAACTACAGTACCACAATTTGAGTGACACCAGTGAGCCTTACTGACCGTGGTATTTAGTTAGTATTTTCATATCCCTATACTTTCTGCATTCGTATTTACTTAGTATTTTATTTAAATTACCTTTAAAATGTATTTCAGGTAGAAACTTGATATCATGATCACAAATGGGAAAAAAAAGTACATTACTTTTCATAGGTAGGAGGTAGCCATAAAACAGTAATTAAAAGCAAAACTGTATTAATTCCAGCCCCCAGCCTAAAGCCTGTTTTTTTTTCTTGTCAAAGCCGGATAGTAGCAAGTTAAGGGAGTTGTTAATGACAAAGCCCCAAACTGAGACATCTTCCTCAACCTAACCAAGAAGACTGAAAGGGAAACGCAAAGAGTGTGATGTGACTTCTCCCACAGGATTCAGTAGTCTTGAATGCCAGGGTCATCAGAGCCTCCTAAATCATCTCTTGTAAGGTGCCCCACGCCCTGCCTGGGAGGCCCTACTGCTGTAGGCGACCCTGTGTTGGAGGAATTGTTGGTAGACTCTGTGATTTGGAAAATTCTATTTAGGATTATTAGGAAGGATGAGCAATATACTCCTCATCATCCTTTATGTATCTTACTGCAGTATTATTTTCCCGAGTAAAAATTGCTTACACAAATAGCTTGTACATTGATTAAAAGGTACTCAACATCTACTGTATGTTTTAGTTTAAATTATTCATTTGATCTCTAATTTAAATTCTACTTTTACCTCTTTTTCTTGTCTGCAGTGAATATATTCTCTTGACAAAATGTAATTGGTGACATCGCACTTTAAAGATTTCCCAAAATATATAAGCATACGACAGTGCTGGCATTTCCACCCGAATGGGAACATCTTTGTATATATTGACCATTTTATCTGTTTTCTGACAGCTCACAAGAACTCTGTCAAGTCTGAAGTAGGGGATTTCCTTCTGTTCTGATTTATTCCTGGGACCTAACAGCAGCGGTCAGCATTTACTTTTTATACTGATGCTACACAGCTCTCTTGGCAGATTGGTACATGGCTAATTCCCTCACATATCTTGCAGTCTTCTTGGAAATCAGGTTTTATAGTATGATTACTATTGGTCAGAAACAAGAGGCACAAGAGTGGCTATTAATTTTCAGTATTGCTTAACCTAAAAAAGAAAGCCGTTATTTCTTTTGCTGTGGGAAGGGAGGTGGGGGGAGACAAGCCAGATCTAAAAATAAGGTGGATTTTCTTTCTTATTCATGTGTAATTAGAGCCCCTTTGTAACTACTCATTACCACCTCAATGGTTATAGGATGAATAAATAATATATATTTTTAAATGTGGCAAACCAAGAAAGAAGTAGCCAGGGCTGCATCCAATTTATCAACTTGGTGATTAAAGGGCTGGCTCTAGCGGCTCCAGACATCTAGGGACCCAGAGATAAAACAGAGCAGTTGGCTGTGTTTTTACTAATGAATCTGGGGCTTGAAAGATATCAGGCAATTTTAAAGAAAAGCAGCAAGGACAAGAGACATTAGACAAGGCCAGCAGGGTAATGAAGGGCAAGGCCAGTTACTGAGAGAGAAAATTACTTCATTTTCTGTGATAATGCTTCTCCGAGCCTCACAGGCCTCTTCTCACGCTTTGTTAGTATGACCATATGTGTACATACAGCCTCAGAATGCTACTCACAGTGCAGAAGGAAAGAGCCTTGGAACATTCCACAGAAGGGCAGAGGGCTTGGGTCTATTATTTTGAAAGGGGGAGGCTGAGAACAATGGTAGCAGAAGGGGGTTAGATTGCAAGGTGAGGATTGGTGCTTGGACAGAACGTGAGGGACGCACAAGATTAAATCAGGACGAAAGACACAGCAAGGAAAAGAAAGAAAACGGCAAGCAAACATACTCTGGAAATGCAGGATTGTTTGGAGGATGAGGTGGGGCAAAGAGCGGGCCCAGCCCGGTGGTGTTCATCGTGTCTGCAGAGCAGAGCTATGTGCTCTTTTGCTCACTGGCCTTTATTGTGCAGTCACAGTAAAAAAGGCACGGGGCACCTGATTCCTCCTTAGCTAGCTGGTGAGCGGGACACATTTTCTGCTTCGTGGGGAAATGTGTGATATTTTAGAAACAATTCCAGAGTATATTTAGCTCCTAAAGCTGGGGCACACAAATGTCACATTCCCATGAGACAATCGTCCCAGTGAAAAGAGCACCCACTAGAGGCCCTTGCGAAGCTCATGAAACCCTCGCATCCCAGGAGATGCCCTACACACGGATGTGACATCATTAAGGCACCCACATCAGGGAATGAGAAGAAGCGAAGAGATCACAGATTGGGCCAAGTTAAGGGACGTCATAATGGGTCAGAAAAGAAATAAGACTTTTCCAACAGAGTAACGCCATCACCAAGTCCAACCACACAGTGCTTGGCAAAACAGAACAGAAGTTTGAAATAAATCGTGAACATTAAAACAGAAAAACAGTTCAGAGCAAAATGGAAATTAAAATCATAAGAATCATGGTAAAAGGAACATTAAGCTACATTTAAAAAAATTTTTTTTTCTGCATAACAACCCATTGTCATTGCCCCATCAAATACATAATCAATTGTCAAAAACCAAACTCAAATTTGACAGGGCAAGGCAAGGAGTTAATAGCACAAGAACAGTGATCATGTTAAACACCCATGCAATCACCTCTGCCACCATTGTCTGACAGTTTGTAGACTGCTTCCAGCTTTGTCAATATTCATAATAAGACCCAGGAGAGTGAACAATGCCGAATTTTAAAATGATCTGTCAAAGTGTTAATTGGACTCTTTGATAACCTCCATCCCTTGGGGGAGTTAACGATCGGAGAAGATTCATGCCACCCGTCTCAGTGAAGTGAAGAGGAAATGATTGTAACCAACAGCTAGATATTTGGTTGACATAGTTAATGCTTTCCTGGAAAGACCATTTGGTTTTTCAGAAAGTCGGCAGTGGGCAAACACGAAGCGATTTTACAGAGCAGTCTCTTCTCGAGCACTCGGCCAAGACTCCCACATCTGCGGTCTGGAGCCACACATAACAAATAATGGCGCATGCTAGGGCTTGTGGCCTGATGTGATAATTCTGTGCCATCACTGAGGAGCCTGGTGCTTTCTCGGGAATGGTAAGAGCAGGGATGCCTCCAACTTCAAGAGGCTGCTGAGACAAAAGCTGCTCTTTTTAAGATTTGGGGCGGGGGATATGAAAAGTTATAGAAGAGTAACCAAACTGATTAAGGGCGGCGTCCTCGAGAATAAGCTAGAAGGGCTAAAGTCTTCACGTTTTGGCACGAAGAGCAGCAGAGTATATGGCACTCTCACCACATGAGTCACAAAAAAGAGGGTGACAGTTGAGTGCGTGAGTCTGCCTGGAAAACATCCTCTAAAAGTCAAGACGGAAATATATAGAGAGAAAATCCTGAGGGAGGACATGACAGACGGTCCTCCAAAGGGTCACCGTGGCTGGTAAACCCCCCGCTTGGATGAAACCCTTGAAAACATATAGAAGCGAACAATTCTGAATGAGGGGAAACAGCTCACAACATAACTGGGCTTTTCAGCCTCTGATTTACAAGACTGTTTTTTGGACAAGTAAAGGCCTCTTTGGTTTGCAGCTGCAGCTAAAGTAGGATGTGTTACCAGAAGCAGCCACTGGCGAGAAAAGAAGAGGACATTTCCTGTCTCTAGTTGCGCAAAGAAAGCGGGGGAGAATTTAGGACAGTTCACAGTAGAGTCCCTTTCATTGAGTGCAGCTTCCTTTCCATTTTAAATGCATAGCAATTCTGCTTGATTAAATAACATATTTTTGTCTTAGCCGTTGTCCTCACAGGGCAGTTACAGTACATCGCAGGACCGCGGCTCTATTCAAATTCAGCACCATGCGCGAGCGAGAGATGCCACCAGCCAGAAAAGGCTCTGTCCTGCTATTTCTCCACTCACTCATTAAACGGGGCCTTTTCGTGGGTTCCACAGGCCAGGGCCGGCCCGCGTTCTGTCCCGTTGGGGAATGGGAGAAGAGGACCCAGCACTGGGCCCGAGCTCAGAGGAGCGGGGAGGGGCGGCATTGGGCCAAACCGCACCCCTTGGGGATGGAGCAAGCTCAGAAGGATGTGCTATTTGTTTTGTGTGGTTCCTCCTCGATGGGGGGAGTAATTTAGAATCAAGCCTAGCGCAGAGAGGTCTTTTTTGAGAAAGCTCTCGAGCATCGAGCATGAGCATCGTGTGCTGGAGGTTCCTGAGACGCTGCTGTGAGTCAGCTGGAAGCAGTCACACAGCCCTCCTCGCTTTTCCCTCCCTCTCCCCCCAGAGGAAGAGGCATTTCCAAGGCCTTACCCTTCTGGTCTTGGTGATTACGGGAAGACACCGCCCCCAAAGGGTCTGTGCTGTCGGGTGAGTGCAGCAGGTCCTTCCAGTCCAGCATTCCCGCCCTAGACTCATACCCCTCCTGAGCCGCTGCATCCGACGTGGTGGTGCTGGGCAAGAGGGAACTGGAGTGCCCTGTTTTCATCACAAATACAGTTAGGGAGCGCGTCGCCAGAGACCCCCGCATTCTCTGGGTGCCGGCCGTAAGACTGAGGGGAGGCGGCCCGAGAAGGAACAGGCTTGAGGGGTGGGGGTTCAGCAGGAGACCCCCTGCCCTGGCTGCTAGATCCTGTCTGGGATGCTTGCTGGGTGAGCCCGGGAGACTCCCTCAGTCTCTCTGGGTCTTCATTTCCGTGTGCGTGAACCGGGCATGGTGTCGCTTCCCTCCCTGCATTGGGAGGGTGGAAGTGACACGGTAGTGAAGCGCCTGGCAGTGTCTGGCACAGAGTACACGCTCAGAAAATCCTAGTGTCCAGCTCTGGTCTTCCCTCAGCACTGGGAAAGGCGGCATGGGTCCGCTCTGGGGGACACCGTTCGTGACTCACAGGGCAGGTGTATGGCAGTGTTACAAACAGCATGCTGTCCTGAGCCTTTCTTTCTCACAGTGTGTGTCTGGTTTCCAGCTTCAACTCAACCTCACAGACTTCCTGTTTCTGAGAGAAGTGACCGCCTGCCTCTCTGAAGGCTCCCTGGGATGGCAGCTTCAGCCGCCCTATGTTCCCATGGCTGTGCCTTTTCTGTGTTCTTCCAGCAAAGCCATGGTGTCATGACTCCTGCCCCGTAAAGGTTGTTCTTGAGGCCACAGCACCTGGCATGATTCAGATTAGAAAGGGAGAGCTTTTTGGGATCCAGAGTAGCCTATCGCAGGATAACATTGGAAGAAGAGTGGCCAGGTTGGGAGTTAGGGCAGACACTCTGGATATTTCCGGTGAACATATTCCTACGCTTTCCTTCTGTCATGCCCCAAGGCTAAATACAGGTGGCACCTTCACGAGGCCTTAAAGAACTCCCACTACCTGTCCTCTGTGAGAAAGAAAACTTAACTTCTCTGTGATTTCTGAATAGAGTCTATGAAACCGTCTTCCCTATCGCAGCCTCTTGAACAAGGTTTAAAAAAGATTATCAAGGCAACTACTGCGAGTTTGTAACCATTGCCTCTGGTAGAAGGTAGGGCGGATTCGCAGGTGGCTCTAGCCTTGGGCTGTGATCGCCGCATATGTGTTAAATAAAATACTGTTGACCAGAAAGATGAGAATGAGCAGTACACTGCATTCTTCTGTTTTTACAGTTAGCATCAGAAGTTGGATTCCCAGACGGCTTTAATACTGCACGTGACAGGCAACGTTTTGTACAAAAGATGGCAGGGATGAATCAGGGAAGCCAGGTAGCTCACCTAGGCTACAATGATCTCTCTGGAAGCACCACTCTTAAATGCCACCACAGAACTTGAGTAACATTTAAGAAACCCCTTTCTCTGTAGTTTGTTTGGCTTCTGCACAGCTTCAGACATCAGCTTTGTTGCACAGAGTCTGGTTTATATGCAACAGTTAAGAACATATTCATTTAAAACTCAAGAATGCCTGCTTCTAGACTTATTTATTTATTTTTTACATTTCTGGGTTTCATATCTCAGTACTGATAAGAGAACAGAGGTAGAGAAATTAAGCTGGACTTCGAAATACAGAATTTCTTTTTCGCTTATACTGAGGTCTAAAATGTAACCTCCGTTTTCTACTCTTGAATTCTACTCTGCTCTAACAAAATATATGGCCAACCTAAGAGAGAACTCAGCACCCAGCATAAGCAAACAATTAGACATTGCTTTGTAGGGAGTTAGAAAGGCTGGAAGGTTGGGGAGTGTGGGGGACGGAACAACAACCCTTTTCTCCAAGTAGCAAGAATTTCTTTTTCCTGAATTGATATGCATTTTGAGTACTTTCAATTTAACTGTGTTCAAGGGGCAATTTTATGGTAATGCCCTAAGTATGGTTTAGGGAGAACATTTCTTAATACGGTAATCCAGGGGAAATATATGCCTAAGGGACACATTCTCTGTCGAAAGATTTCCTGGACCATATGCTGCAAATACATGGAAAACTCATTGGTAATGGAAAGCTATGGCTATGAGAGGAAATTAATGTGGACCAGATGGTAGTTAGGTAGGAAAATGCTTTACACAAATGTGAGAAATCACCTCCTTCCTATTGCTGAAGTGTTAGTCTAATACCCACCACATCCCCATTTTCTATATGTAAATCTAGAGAAACCATGCATCCGATGTACACAAAATTAAAAAAACTGAGCAGCATGGGGTTTGTATTCTTTTGAACTTATGTGTGAGGAGAGGCAACACGTGTCACTGGTGAATCACGGTCAAAGAAATTCTCAAAAATTGTAGAACCGCCTTATGAAAGCACCATTAAACAGCAGTCCTTAGTTTGAAATCAGAGAGGGGTATTATTATTGCTGCTTCTCTAAACGTAAATATGTTAAAAGGAAATCCCTTATATTCCTTCTTAAAATCTGATTCCACAGGCTACATAATTTTTGTGCATTCATTCACTAAGAGGCTCTGTGATCAAAATCGTGCTACAAAAATAGGCAATCATTTATAGACATGGTATTACAGGTCAGTAGATTTGGAACGTATTATTTTGTCCTGTTAATCCATTATTAAAGGTCATATTTTAAACAGTGGAGCTTATAATGTATTCTTCTTTTTCTTTCTTTCTTTCTTTTTTTTTTAAATAATAATCTCCACCATTCAATGTTGGGCTCAAACTCATGACCCTGAGGATCAAGAGTTGCATGCTGTACTGACTGAGCGAGCCAGGTGCCCCTGATGTATTATTCTTATAATATATAAAGAAATAGATAAATTTTAGAAGTTAACTTTAATGTGCATCATATTGTTTCTCTATATCTACAAGTCTTTGTGATTCCAGAGGTTAGAGACTCTTCAAACCACTATAACCTATGAACAATGATTGTAGCCAATTAGACACAAAATAAGAGACATTAAATCAATGCAAGAAAGGGAGAGAGAAGGAAAATAGGGTCCAATTCACTAAAAAAAGGGGTTCTCGCATATGTAACCGGTGTTGCACAGAGCTTTTGCCAAGCAGAGAGTTTGTGTGGTTTATTGTAATGATTCCTTTTTCTGAGTTAGGCAGTTTGAGTTTTGTGGCTCTCTTTAGAACCCACACTCAGCCACTGAACATTTTATGGGGACATGCAGAGGACACAGCTTGAAACAGTGGGTGATTTTGGACTTGGTGGTTGCCTTCCTAATCTATATCCATGTATATAAAAAAAAACAATTTGGTCCTTCCTTTGATGGTAGAAATACAGTGCCTAGTCTAGTAGTGCCTGACACCCTAGTAGGCACTCAGCACATATTTGCTGAGTGAATTAATTAAATCTGTTCTAGGTTTTCTAACTGCAAAATAAGCATTTCTTGCAATAGTTTGTGAAAAGAAAGTCTCTGTATTTTTATAAGTACTGTCTGGATGAGTTCTCATCTTGGCGGTCAATCATGTAACCATTTAACATTGGGCAGGATTAGCCTAAAACGGACAGAATCATTAGTTGAAAGGAGAAGTCCAAGTCTTCTTTAGTTTCATAACAGAAGCCACTGATCAAGAGCTGAGGGCAAACAGACATCCCTTAAAATGTTAATATGGAGGAATTAATAAGTTCCTTTCCCTTTGTAAGGGAAATAAGAGAGATCCATAGATTGGAGAGTGATTTTTGTTCATAAAAATGCATCCCGTGGTTTAATTATTCTTTCTGTACGAGAAATTACCTGGGAGTTATAATTGGTCTTAGTCCAGTTGACTAAGGAGGTTGCTGGTTCAATTAGACTTCAGACCTGAATTTCTCAATATCTGATAAGGATTATTCAATTATAGGAAATGATTGCAGAGTACGATATTGGAGGAGAGTAGATGCTAAGTGGATTCTCTTTCTGACGGGCGAGCTATGCTAGACGACATCGGCCTCCAGAGGAATTTTCTTTATCGCTGGTGTTCAGTATTCTGGCATGGGTCACAGATGAGAAAACGCTAAAGGACTTGTGCTCCACACTGCCTCCCTCCACCAGGGGGATGGGCAGGAGAAACCAGGCATCGTTTTCCATACCTGCACAGCTCATTTAGGACTGCAAAGTCTTTAGTACTTTCCAAGAGGCTTTTTATTTACGCCAATTAGACACAGGGAGGAAGAGTTGACATAGCACTATTAAACACGTTTGTAGTCATCTTGAACTATTTCTTCGAATCCTAAACCTGCCTTGCTCTCTCTTCTTTCCTTTTTTCCCCTTCCTTTGTTACCTACCTCTACAAAGACCATTCTAGAACTGTTACTATGACATACTTTTAACACAGAAGCTATAAAATGCACATCTATGAAACTCTTAGTCCCCATTAGAATGCAAAGCTTAAATGTTCCATCACATGTGTTTTTCATATTATATTTACAAAGCACATGGAGGCACCCGGGTGGCTTAGTCGGTTAGGCCTCCGACTTTTGATTTCAGCTCAGGCCATGATCTCACAGTTTGTGAGATCGAGCCCCACATAGGGCCCTGTGCTGACAAAACAGAGCCTGCTGGGGACTCTCCTCTCTCTATCTCTCCTCCACTCACACTCGCTCTCTTTCTCTCAAAATAAATAAACATTTAAACAGCACACGAATGGTTTATCCTCATAAACATTTGGGGAAACTCTGAGAAATGGCAGTGGTGCATCTTGGCTACGTTTCAATTCTTCTACCAAAAGCCTCAGAATATTTTGTTTATGGACCTCATGGCTTTGTTTAATACAGTGTCTGTGTATTTCACAGCAGACACAATGGGAGGAATCCTGCTTGCACATCATTTCCCCCACATCACTCCTGTCTGTATACATTCTGAAGAATGCTCACTGAAAATATGTCTAAATAGTCATACTCTTTGTGAATTTAAATTTCGATGGCTGTTTTCCACGTGATACTGGAAAGGTTTGCCTAATGGTATTTGCATGCCTTCTAGATTTTTTCCCCCTGCAGACAGTACTGCCTTGAAAGTCGGCATTTTAGGGAATGGTATTCCAGCCAAGAGCTACTGCCCGTTAGTTACAAGCACTGTTGTTTTATCTTGGATAAATTTGTATCAGAAAGCAATTGCTTCTCCCTCAAGAACTCATTAAACATGTTCACCAAATTCCTTAAGGTTGGCAGATTTAATGTTATGTGGATTAAAAAGGTAGGAACTGATCTCATATGTCAGTTGTCTCTCATAGAGTGATTTTGGAAGCATCGTGAAATTAATAAATAATTTTAGTGAATTGGGGCCCTGAAGTAACAAAGAATCTGGTCCGTGATGTTTAGGGATGGAAACTATAAACTATCACAGGATGAGTGGCTTAAAATTAAAAAAAAAAAATCCATAAACTGACCATATACTGTGTTGTAAGACATTTCATGATCTGGAAGAGGAGTTGAAATGTCTATAAAAAAATAATGAGGAAAAAAATTAATTAAAAAAGAAACCTAAGGTTTGAAAATACTCAAGAGGATTAGTAAAACAGGGTTTCCCCACATAGATTTCCATCGATATTAAATTATGAGTAATATCTTCCTTACCATTCAGGGCCACGAAGGAATCTGGAAGACAAAAGGGAGGAGAAGGTTACTTAACGTTTAACACTCTGCTTAGTGTCACTTACATTGTAAGTAGGAATGAGCTAATACAGAATTATGCTAACATATGATCCCCGATACTAAGTAAGCGCTTTTTCATTTTCATTTCTGCTTGTGATACAGGACACTTTGTACTGGGTCCGATTTTATCCTCTCCTATCTCTTTCCCAAGCGAGTTTCCTCAAAGTCACTGCCTTTGTTGCCAAGACTCAAAGAAAAAGCAAGAGTTAGAAGAAGCACTGGGAACTGACATTCTATGTCCCTTACTCTGTACAGAGGGGTGTGTATGTGGGCAAAATAAGTGACATCTGGACCATGCTTGCAAAATACTGTTTTCTGTACATTCTCATTTCATCCTCTCGACCATGCTGTGAGGAACTGTCCAATATCACAATGTTCTGAACTCAGCAGAGGTTTTCATTGGGAAATTAAAAACATAAAAATACTCACACACACGTATAGGCTATGCACACACGTGTGGGTGCTGTGTGTCTGGGTCAGATCACTGGTTCAGTTAGCTTGCTTGCTACTCAGCCTCTGACACCGACTCTTCATGATTTCCTCATTTCCCCTTAAAATCCTGTTCAAGAGTCACTGTGCACCAATCATCTGAACCCTCTGCATGCCTCTGTGTGAATAGATATGTCTCATAGAAATAGGTCCTGCTCCAGCAGGAGCATAGAGAGCAGAGAAGCCACTAGAAAACGCAGCAGAAGGTCAGGTGCACCTTCTGACCTAAGCCAGCACCCTAAGTGTCACAGTGTGAGTAGAGTTCTAGGTTAGGAAGCACATGAAAACACGGAGGCTTGACCACTGAGATTGAAGAGCAAATCCCTGGTTTTGGCCTGAAGGTCTCCCCCATGTTAGATACAGAGGCTTCGGTAGGTTCCTGGGCCTGAAAACACATGTGGTGTGAGCCCTACTGGTGTCGTGGACACGTGATGGAGACAGTAACATCCATTTTCACATTTTTCACGTGTTTAGTTATTCAGTCTCAGTTCACACCCCTATTTTCTACAGATGCCCATACCACCAAATCCTAAAAATATGAAGCAAATTATTCACTGAAGTCAGCTAATTTAAGTTTGCTCGCATAGACACATGCACAACCCAAAACTTATTTCCCTGCAAATGGAGCCATAAGGCACCAACGTGATTAAGACCCACTGATCAAACCTCCAACTGTCTCACTTCACACAAGAAACAGAGGTGTTTTGGTGATGCCACTGTCCCCCATGTTGATTTCTGAACTCATAAATATTTTGTGTTTGAAGACATAGGAAGACGCTTTTGCCAGCATAGAATATTTGCAAACAAAATAAATACAAAAGATTTGGAGATGAGGCTGCCCATAGCCCTCTTTATTTGATTATGTTTGATCTCCAAAACAAGATAAGGGAGAGAGTTGAATGGTACCTTAGAGTCAGAATTTCAGTACTCATGGCTCAAAGATTAGCGTTTCATCTCTGATTTTCACTATATCAGAGTAATCCTGGTTCATTCCCTTAGGAGCCATTTTTGGGTGCCATTTTGAATGCAGGCTTCCCAGAATTCATCATACAGCATATTTAAAACACTGCGAACTAAACATTTTCCAAGAGAATGGCATTCTTCTGTAAATTAGCATGAATAAACATATTCAGGAGAATATTCATATTTAATCAGATCATTAGGACAGCTGGGCAGACGATTGACCAGGACCTTTTATACGAGGTTCCAACTAAAATGTTACCATTTAATAACTTTGGAAATGAACTCTGAGGTAAACATAAAAGGTGAATTCTGATAAAAAGGTTATTTTGAGTCCCCCTGTACTTGAGTGGGTTCTTTCTGAAAATTTTCTCTACTGCGAATGGTAACACACATAAATCTAATTAGAAAAATAATTACTTTTATTAGTCGATACATTCAAAACACTCCCATTCAATTAAAAAGCGAAAGCATGGCAATCAGTCTTTTTATTATTTGGCTAAAAATTACGGGGTAAAAACACGGTTTTTTTTAAACTAGTTTTTTAATGGAAATGTTGATCTAACATACTGCTCTGCTATAATTACTATTCTCTGGAGTGAACTTGTTCCACAGCCTTGTGACAATGGAATAGGTGCCAGCATTTATAGCAACAGCATCGACAACACTAGCTTCAAAACATGCTGTTTCCTTGATTTGATATTTAGAAGATGATTTCTGTTACTTATGCATGGTTTAGTGCCAGCCTCACTAGGTCCACATGTGGGGCGACATTTCTAGGCCGTCCGATAAAAGGGTCTTTGCACAAAGACGAGGATGGATAAAAAGCTTTACTTACTGTGACAGTCTCCGAGGCCATCTGTGTTGCCACGTTCTATGTCCTGTTCAAAAGTCAGTCTTTAATAAAAAAAAAGGGGGGGAGGGGAAAGAAACAAATTCAATATCGTGAGTTGTTACACCAGAACGTTGTCTGAAGTTTCACTAAAGAAACCAACACAGTTTGATAACTTGAATGGCAGGTGCAAAAACCAGAAGTAGATAACAGCTTGAAAATTTGTCTCTGAAGTTTACAGAAATGAGTCTTCTGTGACTCTCCACGGTTTAAGCAGTTAATTCCGATATTATTCAGGGAGTTAATTAGTTTGCGGATTATTTATATCCTTCTTTTACAGATTGAGCATTTCTTAAATGTTTAAAAAGTTTAAATGTCAACATAACTCTTTATAAGTGATATAGAAGTCTATAAAGAGAAAAAAAGAAAAAGAAAATCCTCTCTACTTTTTCTTGACCCCAGCACCACCTTCCTAGACCTTTATTTCCTTGCCCAGAAATAACCTATATAAGAAAGTGTTCAAAGGAACAAATGGCTGGTGGGTACAGAGCTCCCTTGAGGGGATGGGACATGGTGGTGCATTTCACTGAGACCCTGTGGCCCTGTGATTCTGGAGTATTACCTTCATGCTCACTTTTGTTTCAAGTCTGCTTGGTCACCATTGGGCTGTACGAGTTATATAACTAGACCAAACTTAATATATATAATCTGATTTTTAAAATAAGCACACTGGAATTGTCCAGGGGAGAAGTGTCTGTTTGGGGAGAACTCTGTACCGCTTCTCACAACATGACTGAAACTCTGTTCTGCAGCTGTCTTTAGAGTTTATTTTATGGACCATATAGGAAAACTGTCTTGAAAGTCACACCTTGATCTAATAATTCACCATGTTTGTTTTCCAGTGTTTTTTTCTATGTTAAAAATCAAATTCATATTCAAAGGATAAAGATTTTCAGTGGTAGTGAAAGCCAGCATTCATCAGTCCCTGAAGGCCACTTTTCAAGGAGAGTTCTACCATGTTTTAAGCATGTGTGTGTGTGTGTGTGTGTGTGTATGCTTAAATATAAAGATATTTATATATATTTATATATATCCTTAAGGGAACAATTTGGAATTCACATGTTGACAAAAATGATATTTTTTAAAGTTTGTTTGGAGACAGAGCACACGTGAGCAGAGGGGCGGGGGGGAGGAGGGGAGAGAGAGGAGAGAATGAGAATCCCAAGTAGGCTCCGTGCCCATCCTGGAGCCTGACATGGGGGCTCGATCTCATGAACCGTGAGACCATGACTTGAGCTGAATCAAGAGTCAGAGGCTAAACTGACTAAGCCACCCAGGTGCCCATGACTTAAAAATGATTTTTTAGTCAGTCTTACTACCTTTGGTCACACCTTGAACCTAGAAAGGAGATAGGTCATTTCTTAGCTTCCTTCCTTGTGCTTTGAGATCTTTTCTCCTTCACTTTGAGGGTCCCCATGAAAAGATAGAAAGTTCTAGTATGTCAGTATTGCTACTTGTGGAGCTGATCTAGTGATACATAGTCAACCGTTTGCGTTAGTCAGATTTCCAGGCCAGACTTCACAATTATCATTAGCTCCGCTTGTTGGAATACTTTGCCTCAGATTTTGCATGTGGTGGTCATCAGATGTGCCCTCCTGTCTGTCTAGCTATTCTGAGCTAGGAGAGGAGGCCCAGAGTGCCACGAAGGCCTGGGGGACTTGACGGAATGGCGAAGACGGAACTGTCCTACCATATGGCACCTTCCTCGAGTTGCCATAACTTGTCAAAGATGTGCACCGGATTTCACATCCACTAAAATAACGGAAAGAAACCTTTAATGCCATCTAAGCACTTAAAACCAGGGTGACAGTTTTAAGCACCCAAATCACAGGCATGATAGACTGGCCCAATCTAGCTGATCTGTTGGAGAACTGCCAAGAATTGATTGACTCCTTAACGAGTAATAGGGTCAACTGTTCTTCAGTGCAGGAGAATGGTTTATTGGATGCATACACCATACTTGCAGTACAAATGCATCGGTTAACAAATGCTCTGTGAGCTCTTCTTGGCCCTGCATGGTCAATTAGAGGAGCCAGTTTTGCTGTGGCTGGGCAGACCGCAGCACTAATCTAATTGGTACCCTATTGCCTCTTTTCTCCGCTGCTATTCTTACACTGCAGTGATCAAGGCATGTGCCTTCTTGTCCCACTCTCCAGGGAATACTCAGAAGCCCGCAGTGTTTCTTTTCTCTGTGTTTTTAATCAATCTCAGGATGGGTGATTAATCAATTGGAGATCTGCCACATGTGATGGTGGGGTGTTCCATGAAATGGGAAGAGGAAGGAGGACTGGCCGGCAGTCCCACTGATGAGATCTGTGCACAGAAGGCTGAATGACAGCAGTGTGTGAGAGCACAGGTAATTGTACATCTAGAAAGCCCGGCGGCTGGGGGCCACTTTATGCTCTTCCACGCCTTTGGTTCCTTACCTGCTACTGGGTGACAGATGGGCACAGGAACCTCCTTCCTTTACCCACCCGCAGTATGGGTCTCTGGAGGCGATACAGGTTCTGCAGGAGAAAGATGACCATGAGCTACCCTGGACTCCCCTCTAAGCACCACCGTGGACTCTCATGGTCCGTGAGGCAAAATACGTACTTTTTACACTTCCCGTGTCGTTCGCAGCGGCCCAGGGGAAGCTTTATCACACAGGTGGAGAATGCAACGTACAGAGAGCTGCTGGCTTTGTCCAGCTGCATGCCCATAATCCTCTTGTCCTCTACCCCGTCGTAGCTGCACCTGATTATAAGGCATGATCATACCGTTAACACTCTTTCTCGACTCAGGTCTCTTCTTCCTGCCACCTTGCCTCTTGGCCCACAAGGTGATCCCTTAATTTGATCTCACTGAAGGTGAAACAGATCCTAAAAGGTGCCCGTCTCCCTGGCCCTGTGCGTGTCTCTATATAAACACACATTTATTGGCAAGGAGAAAAATAATGCTTCTTTTTTTTTTTTTTGCAAACAATACTAAAAGCCCCCTAAAAAAAAAACGCACTCAACTGAAGTCTCCTCTCCTCAGATTTTTCTCTGAATGAAAAGGATCGTAATGACAAATAATTACTGAGAAAGAACCCAACAGTCTACTTACTTTTCAGGGTTGTAAACGCTCATCTCCTCCAGGAAAAGGCTGTCATTTAGGAAACCACTGTTTCCCATCCTGGCCAAGAACTTCAAGATGATCCCCTTCTCTGATCCCAGGAAAACCACAGTGTGGTTCTGATAGGGCCCAGCAGCAGTGTCCACCGCAATTCTGGTCAGGCGGTATCTAAGATGACAGGATCACAGCTTTTATCTCTCTGCTGGTCTGTCATTCAAGGGTCCCCTTTTCCACTTCAAAGAGTTGTGACATCGCTTTCTAGTAATAACCTCAAGAAAAATGTATGCATACAGATAATGTTCTCAAGCTGTTCTGGGCCTTTATTTCCATATGCGGCACATCAGTGTGGCTCCACGGGTAGAAGGGATGTATGTATTTGTGGAGGCCAAGTTACATAACAAAGAGACAGCCCGAGCCATATGAAACCACTCAGCAGCGATCTCTTCCATGAGCACCAAGGAGAGGCGGATGTGTCCCATGAAGAGGGGAGGAGATAATCATGGAACGCATTTAACATTTCAGTTAACATTGAAAAGAAGAGCATGGCTACCAGTTTTCCATACTCTGGAAAGCCTTGTCAACAAGAGGTCAGATTGGAAAGCTTTCCAAGTGTGTGTAGAGGGGCTGACAGTTCTGAAGGATGGACAGGTAGGGTGCTGATGACACCATTAATTAATATGAGGATGTGCATTCCAAACAAGGTCTACTTAAAGCTAAGGGTGAAGGACATCATCCTTCTCTGGTATCTCTCAGCCATTCACCATGCCATGGATACTGATTTGTGCCAAGCACCATGGCATAAACCAGAAAACATGAACCCTCTTGCAAGTTAGATACCACAGTTTTCATTTTATGGGCAAGAGCCATTATAGTACTTTAATATCTTTCAATAAAATCACTGCTTAAAAATGGTGGTAGTACCCTTGGCTGGCTCAGCCAGTTGGGCATGTGACTCTTGATCTCAGGGTCGTGAGTTTGAGCCCCACACTGGGCATGGGGCCTACCTAAAATAAGAATGGTGGTAAGGTTGAATGACGTTTTGTTCACTGATTACCACTGCAAGATGGTACTTGGGACATCGTGCTCATCTGGAAATAAGTTCCAAATAAATACAAAAGGGAGTATTTAATGCTATCACAGATTTCTAATCAACTATCCCCTCTCTTCTGGACACCACTTCAGGTTACAAATGGTACAGTATGAATCCTTCACACGACCATACTTGTGCAAGTGTTCCCTTCATCGCTGGCCTGTCGGATGGCTAACAACCCAGGGCAATAATCGGGTGGAATCTGGAGCATATTTGCAGCCATATCCAACCAAATAGGTATCCACAGCCATTGACTAGTCTCCTTCACTCCTTCTCTGCTTTTGCCTAGAATAGGCTGACCCAGAAGGAGATAACTTCATTATGCGTAATCGCGGGCATGTGTCCAGTTCTGAAAATATCAGAACTCTTCTCACTGGAAATGTGGTTATGGGGGTTTTGTGGCAGGCACTCAACTGGCCAGCCTTTCACAGATGAATCAATGCCCAGGATAACAGAAGATGTTTGTGGCATTTCAAATCATGATGCACTGATAGGTTTTATGAGCATGGGATGGAGTAGGGAAGAATCCAGTTAGGACATGATTTGCTTGACACCCACCTGACCATTGTCCTCAGGAACCATGGCCTGTTGATGACTGAAGGCACAGCCTCATCCATGAGTGGGTGTGTTTTGATGAAGTTCAGAGTATCATCAGGAAACTCATTGGAGGTTGCATATTTTTCTAAGGACGATGAGCCAGCGCAGCAACCTGGCCTAAAAAGAAACAGGGGGAGGGAGCTTATTTCGTGCCTTATGGCAAATTCTTTGAACAAACTGCTTCCCTAAGCATCTGGCACGCGGGACAATGTACCGTAGGCTGAGGAGAGGAAGTTGAACAATGCAGAGTGCCACCAAATAAAATATGCTTGGATTGTCTCTCTGCCGCCTTCTCATTCCATAGAGAAGCTCCAGCCAGGGCAGTTCAGCGTCAGCTGGGGGCAGCTTGGCTTCCCCCCAGAAGCACTAACCTCATAAACAGTGATGGAGCTTTCGACAAGAGAGGAAGTGTGTGGTTTGCAAACCTGTGCCAGAGACTGCTCTACCTTGTCCTACAACCCCGCTGGAAGTTCTGGAGGCATTTGCTCCACACAAGGAGAGAATCAGCTGACTTCTCCACAAATGTCAAAAACAAAGGCATTCGTAAAGCCACCAGGCAGCAATGTATACCAGCAAGGCTCCACCTCATCCTCCCTCATTACCTGGGGGTCAGAGAGCGGGTGGGTTTTTTTTTTTTTATTGTTTTCACTTTCTGTTTGAGTTGGGCACGTATGAAAAGCCAATTACACTGAAGACTGTCTCCTGAAAGGTCATTTCTTTTATTTTTGAACAATGACAGTGGAAATTAATTTGTATAAGAAGTTCTGTGGTCTCAGGAAGTCACGGGACAGCTTGGTAAAGTCATGTCCGGGAGACACCAACAATAGTCCTTGTCCACAGCCCTGCTCTGCCTGCTGGTTGGGGAGAGTAAACAGGACCCTGATAACACTGGCATGATCTGGCCTCACAAACACACTCTTTCGTGGCACTAATCAAGCCAGCCCCATGAGAGCATCTGATGTTGGCAAGAAGAGGGATAATGCACGTGGAAGGGTGGGAGAAACACATTGCCACCAGTAGAAAAGTGAAGTTTCTGTGCCCTGTCAGTGGCTGGCTGACACTGTCTCTCTGCACCGAGGAGACCATGTTATTTAAGTACTCCCTGAAACCTCATTCCTCAAGCTTAACACCCTCTCCTGCTTATCTAGAAAGTAGCTAAACATTGCCAGGCAGGGACTTAGAGAATCTCTCTGAGGTTGCCAGAGTGTGCTTTCTGCACCTAGTCTGCTCTGCAGGGGCAGCAGAGTATATACACACCCCCGATAATTCAGGTGATGAAGATGGATGAGCCACAGAGGTTTCTCCCCTGGGTGTAGTGGTTCATGTTGTCTGAGTCTGCTCAATTAAATGAAGTGGGCTGCTTTGTGTGTGTCTTGCGGTGGCGGGGTGGGGGACAGCAGGGGTGGTTGGAGATTGGAGGTTGAAGGAGAGAGTTGGAAACCAAAAAGTTTAGATGCTGGGCTTCTTTGCAGAAGCACACCAATTTGTGGAGGAAGCTGGACTCACTGGGATGTTTTTATGGAACTTAGATGCCAAATGCTGTAATGGAAGTTTGAAGCGTGTGCGGCATGACAAGGGGAGGCGCCTGTTTGGGGGAGGGTTTCATCCTGTCTGGGTGGGAGAGAATGAATTCGCTGATTTAGTGTGAAGATTTGTTGGAGGTTACAAAGGACCAGGAGGTCTCTGTCTGGGCTCAGGACAATAGGTTCCCCATGCAAGCGATTCCGGGGGATGTTTTGGTGGAGGGATATGCACTGAGTCTGCGTCCAAAACAGACTAGAACCTGGTAGACCAGAGAAAACCTGATGGCCCGGTGCACTCACTTGTCTCTACCTGCAGTTACCCTGCAGTCCTGGACTCAGCTCTGATCCAGCCTGGTCACCAAACTCCAGGGATCACCATTTATATTCCACATTTTATTAGAGTGCAGAGACAGAAGGGAAGGGAAGAAGGGTGGAGTGGTGGAAATAATCCACACAGGTCTGTGAACTTGTACAATACACTTTCTAACTCTCTGGGCCTCAATTTCCTGAACCATACACCAGTGGGGCTGGCTGGACTGGATGCTTGCCATCATCCTAGGATTACCTTGGATAAGCCACAGAGGTAGAGGTTAAGCAAAAGACTAGTGTGTCATTGTTTTGAATGCAACTTGGTTAAGGGGATTAAGGCAAATGGCCTCATAGATCTTTCTGTTGCTTGGTTAGTTGTATTGCTGTGGCCAGCACAGAAGGCGCTAGTATGCAGTTCTTAAGATGTTCACTGTCTGGGACCAAGATGCCCATTTCTTGTAGTTCAGAATAGCCATATAAATATTTACACGTACCTGGGTTTGGGCACTCGTTCATCAGGCACTGGTGTCCAAGTGGAATCTGGAGACTTCTGTTCTTTGAACCTCCCAGTGAACACGTTGGCGATGTCAAGCATGTCATAGGCACAAACTGCAGACCCGGGGATGCTGTAACAACATTTCACACAGTGTTCCTCTCACGACAGTTATGCGTGCAGCTTGGAAAACGTATTACAAAGCAACGTCCCTATTATGGGCAGTGGAATTTCAAGTTCACACCCTGATCACTGTGAATGTAAAGGGTCCCAGTATATATGACAAATGTTTCTCTGAATCACATTTGCATCCGTGGCCTTAAAGGACTAGTGGCAGCAAACTCAGAGAGGAAAAAAAGAAAAAAACCATACATGTTTTTATTGCTTTGGGAACTGCATTTGTTTAGAACTGGTAGTTTAGAAGGTTCATGAATTCCCTGAATTTTCAAGTCACTAACCCAAAGAGAAAAATCTTTGGAAAACATTCTGTATCTCTAATATTGGTGCAGTGTCCACATATTGCTTCTGTGAATTTGGTTTTTCCAGCCAAGGACAGTGAGAAGGTATGTGTGGGGAAAACATGCTTATTTTATGTTAGTCACTATCCATTTCAGTTTTTACTTTGTATTTATTTGCATTAAGATTAAACAATTTAAGCCTCTAAAGCATGAACATTTTGCAAATAAAGTGCTCTGTTAAGTGCTAAATAATAATAATGGCGGTAATCTCTACCTATAATTGCATCTTTCCTTGCTACTCCTGAAAAGAATTGGGATTATTTTTTAATTAATGGAAAGAAGGCATGAATTATTCATTCATCTGGGCACAACTCTTTGAACTCATGTTTTTGTTTTTGTTTTTGTTTTTTCAAGTTTATGTATTAGGGAGAGAGACAGAGAGAATCCCAAGCAGGCTCCATCTCATGAAGCAAGACATCATGATCTGAGCTGAAACCAAGAGTTGGGTGCCTAACAGACTCAGCCACTCAGGCTCCCCCAGCCCATGTGTGTTTTGAAGTATGGTTGTTCCTTGAATTTGATCGAATAAATTTCGGGCACCGGCTGGCCCAGAGTTTTAGTCAGGGTTTGACGTGGTAGGCCACTGCACAGGCAGGAGCATCCTGGGAAAGACACAGATGCTTTGTAGTGTGAGAACATCATCGAGGGCAGAGAGAACGATTTAGTCTTGATTTTGCAAATGTTGAAGGTTTTGGAAATCACTTCTTACACGATTAGGAGAGTTTTATGCCATCTTTAATTTTATAACATAATTACTGAAGTATTACTAATAAAGCAAGAATTAGGGAGAGGATTAGAAAGCTTATTTAAATCAAAGTGGCAGGATGGATTTTAAAGTGTGTAGAATATGTATACATCGTGTACAGAATTGAGTAGATAAGACGGTGATCTCCATTGGTTTTGGAATCTCACAGCTCTAGCCTTATGTATTTAATTTGGTAAAACTCTCTTCACATCTCCATTTTTCCTAAAAGTATATATACTTACTGTAAATATTATGACATATAGGGGTGCCTGGGTGGCTCAATGGGTTAAGCGTCTGGCTCTTGGTTTTGGCTCAGGTCATGATCTCACATTTTGTGATATCGAGCCCTGCATGGGGCTCTGCACTGTGAGTGCAGAACCTGCTTGGGACTTTCTTTTTACCTCTCTTTCTGGCCCTCCCCTGTTCATACTCTCTGTCTCTCTCAAAATAAATAAATAAACTTAAAAAATAAATATTATGACAAACAGGATAAATACTGAAGTATCTTATGAGGCACCTCATCCTCGTAATAACTAAAGATACCCTAGAGTTTGATAATCTGCCCACGGTTAGAATTGCATGTGAAATCCTTTCTTTTCCCTTCCTACCTTTTCTCCCTCTCCTTTTTTTTTTTTTTTTAATATTTTTTATTTATTTCTAGGAGAGAGAGAGAGAGAGAGAGAGCGTGAGCAGAGGAGGGTCAGAGAGAGAGGGAGTCACAGACTGAAACAGGCTCCAGGCTCTGAGCTGGCAGTCAGCACAGAGCCCGAAGCGGGGCTCGAACCCACGAACCGCGAGATCATGACCTAAGCGAAAGTCGGACGCTTAACCGACTAAGCCACCCAGGTGCCCCTCTCCCTCTCTCCTTCTGTTCATCTTTCCTTCATTCCTTTCTTCCTTCCTTCTGTTTCTTCAGCATATATATTAACAGAATCCCTAATCTTCAACATTAAATGCTCAGTAAATAACATAGGTAAATGTTCAGTAGATAACATAGGGTCTCAGCTGATACACATTGGATGGACTGGCAGACCTGGCTGGGAGCAGGGCACCAACAGGCACAGCACATCCAAGAAATACCTCCTAGCTCCAGCCAATGAGCCCGTGGAGCTGGAGGAGGAGATGGGCTTCACCATGGCGGGGGGGGGGGGGGGGGGGGGGCAGGGGGAGGGCCTGTGTGCTCTGCTGGGGAACTAGGGCTTTATCTCCATGGCAAAGAGGAGCACCTAAAGGACTTGGAAGAGGTCTTCACGACCAACTTTGCATGTGTGGAGGATGAGGTGGAAAGGAATGAAACCAGAATCACTGAAACTCTAATTTGCAGATGAAAATGGGTATGTGCCTTTTTATCAACTTCGGGTTTTTCTGAACATTGTGGTTTCTAAGGCCAAATAGGCATGTAGTGACTGGGAGTTTCCTAAGGGTCTTTTCAGAAAATCCTTTACGTGGAGTCTCTATAACACATTAAGAATCTACTACTGTATTATAATTACACAATTCACCCTCAACACCCGTCCCCCTGCCTCTGGCCAAACAAACTAGAAACATGCTCTGAAATTCTACCAGCCCCTGCATTCCCATGTACCAAGACAGTATTCTTTTTAAACAGTCCTAGATTCTTAGATTTCAAAGTGTGAATAGTCATGGCCTGAGTTTTTGTGTCTTTTCTGTTTCTCAAGTCTAAAATAGCTGTGGATGGTCAAGGCTCACTTAAATCGAACTGAATACTTGTTGTTGCAATATGGATTCATATTTTCACGTATCTTCAGTGGAGAGTTCTTGACTCTCATCTTCCATATAACCAAAGGGAACATCAGTGCATTTACGGCGCGCTCTGTTTCAGACTCTCTAGTTCTTACGCATTTCTTCCTATATGCTGCCCTCCAGTCTCATCATGCATTTGCCTGTCATCTAGACTCTTAATCAGATTTTTAGAAGTGTAATCCAGAATAACAAGTATAATACGTGTAATCCAGAACAAAACCCTGCATTCCCAGAGGAAGATAATGCAGAACTTCTAAAGTTCTACACAGAAATGAGAATAAAGTACGTGTTGTCTACGGCCATACCACCCTGAACGCGCCCGATCTCGTCTGATCTCGGAAGCTAAGCAGGGTCGGGCCTGGTTAGTACTTGGATGGGAGAATAAAGTACGTGTTTTTAGATTTCATGAGCATACCCACCATCACAATCATTTTTATACAGCGTGCAAGGACTCTAGGGTTTAGGAGTGCTAGTACCAGAGAATCTCATGCCTGTCTTCCTCCTGGTTTTTAATCTCTACACATTTCTGCTGCTCCAAGAACAATTTTTACTGCGTCATTCGATTACTCAGAGTCTTAGCTTAAATAAACACAAAAATAGGAATGGATAAGCTGATAGTATTTCTAGGTACAGTGTTTGATGACCTCCAAGTCCAAACTCAAGTGCCCCTAGAGTCCATGGTGTTTGGGTCCAGGTACCTCTGACAGGATAATAACCAAGGGGTGGGGATGTGAGATGGACTCGCTGGAACCCTAAATTTCTCTCTGTAGCACTTAAATTTTCAGTGTTTTTACTTTAAAAGTTGCCGATCTAGTCATAGAAACAGTAAAAGTCAAACAGAACGTTAGGTGACCTTGAAGAGGGAGGAGAAATATTCTTGAGTTCTAAAGCTGCCTCTTTCATCTCCTGACTTGGAAGAGGTAATATAATTTAGTTTCCTCAAGTTTAAAAAGAGGGCAACAGTATTCAGTTTCCATTATTACTGGAGAGATTTAGAAATAACACACAAGAAGTGTTTGTATGCCAGGCAAATAAATAGAAGATATTGTTATAATTTATTTAATTACTTCCCCTAAAATCCTAAGCTAATAATGCTTCTAACTATTAATTTGTTGATGAAAACAGCACTTAAGCAGCAATTTTTGCGTCAGTTGTGAATCTTGTGCTTTAGGGGAGAACCCCCTAGGGGGAAAGGAAGCCGGGAAGGACGGATTAGGTCAGCAGAGCTAGGGCACGGTTACCTGTTATAAGGTGTGGAAAAGGTTGCCAGGACAACATCACGGCCATTGATATGAATCACATCTGTGACCGCCTGGAGTATGTTAAAATAAAAATGAGAGTCTCCGGGAACTGAGCAGTTCAGGCGAGCCTTAAGGAAAGATGTCCACTGTTTTTCCAGGACTCTTTGAGACCCTCCCATGTCATTCTTACAAACCTGAGCCACTCTTGGAAAAACTACCTGCAGAGGAAAAACACAGGGAAAATGAAATGCACTCACTTTTCGAGATCTTGGTAGAATTTGCCTTTCTTAGAAAACAGAAACACAACAAGGTGCTTAATTTAATCATGTGTTTCTAAAATTAGTAGCAGGAAAAAAAAAGGGGCGGGGGACTCATTGGAACAGCGTGTTTTGAAAGACAAGGCTGTGGCATTTAATACAGAGCCATAAATCCTTCAGGGGATCAGCTCCCAGCCAGATAAACTCATTTCCATACAGACTGCTCAGCTTTTTATTCCCTCAAACAAAAGCACACTTTGTATGCACCATCTCTGCCATCAGCACTAGCTGCCTCTGGGCCCTCAATCTCATACTCCGAATTCTTGTAACCCTGCAAGCCACCCTGGCACTGAATTTGTGCCCTCCAATTTAGTGACCTTGATCTACTCTCTGGTAAAAATAACTAGCATGGACATCCCGTGAGTGTTCTATTGCTTTTTGCAGTAAAAGACGTTCAAGGTTCTCATTTTACTTAAAGATACTGGATATTTACTCTGTGTGGAACAACTGAATTAAAAAGAAAACAAAAACAAAAAAATGATCAGCATACCTGGAAGGAAACCACATCTCAAGATACTTGAAACTCAGTGTGAAATCAACCAAACAAACATCTGTCGATTACATTTTCAGTAGAAATATTTAAGAGGTTCCCTGCAATCTGGGACTGTTCTGGAAAAGCTTAAAGGGCTCTGAGGCAGAACAGTGTTTTACTTCCACCAGACTTTGGCCGTGTCTTCTCAAAATGATGACCTTGTGATTAGATTTATGGTTCTTACAACAAGGTCATTCAGAACAACACTGGGTAAGTCATCCACCTCTCTTACCTTTCCCATGGTGTTGTACTCCACTGCTATTTCCCTGAAGAAGAAGTAGATGTAGTCGCCATAATCCACTGCTTGGACAAAGTACGGTTCTGTGGACAAATGGCACTTTAATTGGGGACATGTCACACAGAGTTAAAAGAACTTCAATCAGCTGCAACCAAAGACATGATATTAATTAAAAGTGTAGGGCCATTAGACATTGGGTTAACATGAACCATTTCTAATGACCATACCAGCAAGCACTGGTAATTTCAGAAGGCATTCGAGCCTACAAAATTCTGTCTTTCAGAAGTGATTGCAATTAACAATGAAGAATAAATGAATTTTCATATGTCTGTAATTTTATTTTCCACAACGGAATGCCCCTATTACAGAAAGGGTTTTTGGTGCGCGTCTCCGCGTGAACCCTGACTCATGCAGGGCTGTGAATAGCATTTTCCCTGCTCCCCACCACCTCTGATCCCCTGTTCCTTTCCGTGAATGGAATGTACAGTTCTTTTCATGTTGGACTCCGGAATGAGTGCTTGAGACAGGAAAGATGAATGTGGTGTGTTCTATTGTAGTGGCATTGGTAGGTGTGTTAATACTCCAAAACTCATGAAATGGAAAGGGGGAGTTAAATAAACCAGTTGGGGCAAAAGATGCCATTTCCACCTTCTTGTCTGTCAGCAGCTATTACCAAAATGAAACTCCAGTCTGGACTGTCCAGACTCTAAATCCCCCTCAGGATATGACCCCCCCTCCCCCCACCACCCACCCCTCTCTCTCTTAATTGTTGGTTCACCTTTCAGCCATTTGGAATCATGCTTGACGGTCCGTAGGGTTGGGCTGTCTCCCAGACTCCGGTAAATGACCGCATCAATGGCAAGGAAGTCAGTCACTGTGGCTGAGTATAGTTTTCCATCTTAGAAGAGAAAGAAAAGACGTGAACGGGGTGGGGGCACAACAGTGGGCGTGGGAGAGTAATAGAGACATCCCCCAGATTGCTTTCCTACATCAGGCAAATGAGATAGGACGACTGGGGAACATCCAAGAGTCGCTGTGAAAATACTTGGCCCACATTCCTAACCATTTTAAATTAGGATCTTGAGAGATGAAGCATTTTTCATTTTTAAATTGCATGGCAATTTCTAAGCAGAAGCAGCAGCTCAGGGAACAGAGTAAATGAAAAATGTTGTTTGCTTCTCTTGATTAGATGGACCTTGACTGAAATCTCAAGGCCAAGGCCCCCTGGACACTGCTACTGCCACCACACCATGGCAAACCGGATTAGATGGGAGCCCAGGGAAAGACAGAAGCTGATTGTATCACAAGAAATTTTAAGTATGTGCAGAAGGGACAGAGTCCTAAGCTTGGGCAGGTGAGGGGAGTCAGAGAAAGGGGGCTTACGAGCAAAAAAGAAAAAGAAAAAAGCTGACTGAATGGCTCCTTATATTCATGATGAGGGTCACTTCAGTCATGAGAGCCACTGAGCCCTGACAGTCTAGCTGAAATAAGAGATATTTGCTTCAGTATTTGAGAGTCAGGAACTGAAAACATTCTGACACTCAAGATGCTAAAGCAAGGAAGAAAGGGGAAGGGGTGACACCGAGTTGAATCTGGCCTTTGGGAATTCATGCTTTTTGGGGGATGTCCTTTAGGTTAGGGTATATTTAAGGCAAAAGAGGATGAAGAAAGTTGAAGATTAATCCCTACCACTTCGGCCTCTTTTCCTGGATTAAGAAACATCCTGCACACAAATAATCAAATGGGACCTTCTAGAATAGTAAAATCTATGCAGTATGTGAAACAGAAACAGTAATTGTGTTCAAAAGTAGAATTTAGTTCCTTGGTTCATGTTTAGTGGTTACTTATGTTGAGTTGTATGTCGGAGTGGCTTATATGCACTCTAGTCCCATTAGGTGTAATGGTTTTTTTAGAAAAGTTTGTCCAGATCTCTCTAAGCAGAGGTCTTGATGTCTGCTTTTGATCTAAAAATAACTGAAATTTGCTCAGGTTCAACTTGGAGCTGTCTTGACATCTGCGTTATTAACAGCCATTTATCAATAAAAGGTTGACTAGTTAGATTTGAACCACAGAAACCTATCTGTTGATAAATAGACCTACAAAAATCACAGCTTCTCTTAGACAGCCAGAGCCCCAGGTCATGCAGATATGCTGGGTGGTGGTGGGCAGCAGGAGGGCGGCATGTGTTTAATTTTCCTCCCACCCACTTTCCCTTACGCCCTTTCTCTCCTTTTAATTTTAGAGAGAGCACGTGTGAGTTGGGGAGAGCAGCAGAGGGAGGGGAGGATGGAGAGAGAGAGAGAGAGAGAGAGAGAATGAATCTTAAGCAGGCTCCACACCCAGTGTGGATTCCAGTGTGGTGCTCGATCCCTCGACCCTGGGATCATGATCTGAGCTGAAATCAAGAGTCGGACGCTCACCAGGCTAAGCCGCCAGGGGAGCCCCTTCTGTTATGCGTTTTGTTCTACATTCAACACTGGGTATCTCACCAGGATTTTTACTTCTAAATCAGAGCACTGTTCCGCCCCTCGTGTTAACATGACAACCATTCAGTTGCCAACGAGGATCTTCTATTAATAAGGGATGAGCTTTTAAGGGATCTCAAACGGTCTACTGAAAAGCTGTCCACGTGTACCCGTAGGGGGAGAAGGAGGGGCTCTCACAGTACTGTCTCATGGGGCTCGCTCTGCATAGTGGCTGCAAAGTTGGTGGCCTTAGCTGATACTCTGACACTGTCCCCTTTCTGCCTCAGGCTATAACAAGTCCTCTTTTTGGTTGACAGTTACATTTCCCACCGTAGCCCACATCCTCCATGGGGCCAGCAGGCTCGTGGGTCAGAAAGGTGCTGCAGCTGAAGTTACGCACTTGAGAATCCACTCAAGTACCCTGTGCACTGGTCTTGCTCCCGTCCGTGTCGACTGGTAGGTTTACAGGGCTTTGTGTTTTGTACCAGGCCACATCCTGCCAGTGCTGTGCCCTGACTTCTGGGGGCAAACCCGAGGGTCCCTTCCTTCCTGGCGCAGGCCGTTTCTCCAGTCCACGCCTTCAGATCAGCCCCAACTGTAGGACACGGAGGGCGAGGTTCGAGGAGCTAATCTTGTTTCATAATCAGAGCCCTTAGGTTCCTCATGGTGCGGACGTGCCCGTTTTTTAGCTGTTGTGATGGAAATTATAGCTAACTGCTTTATTATATGCTATAACAATCACTATTATACCAACACTTCTTGGAGCTACACCCACCTCCACACAGCTGGCAATGAATTCCTAAATAAATTTCTAATTAACACACACACACACACACACACACACGCACGCACGCACGCACTCATACACGAGAATCCCAGTCTCAAGATGATGGCTTAGTTTTCGCTGCTTTGTATCCTTGGCAGCTCCCAGGAAGGAAGGGGAGAGAGGACGAGGAGTGTGTGTCACCCTAAACTAATCAGCATCACCGCTGCCGTATTATCTTTCCATCACCAATAAGCACATACCCTAAACAGGTCAATGATATTTGAGGTGTCTGCTGGAAACTTGTGGGCTTGTGGCCTCGCTGCTTGTCTCCTTCCTTTCCCCTTCTGTATGTGGACAGGAGTGTGTGCAACTCCTAACTGGGGTCGGCAGCCCCCACCCCCACTGACTGTGAGGGCAGCCGGTGTCTCTCAGATAAAGAATTGAAGTTTCGAGAGCAGAGAGGCGAAAAGGCCCTGGGTCCTGTATGATGTCACTGAGCTGTTGAATCACACTACCCCCAAAGTCAATCCTAGCTTGAATGATCAATCCACATTGCTGGTTTGAGGTGGGATCTTTTATTATTTGAACCCGAACATGCCCTAGTAGCCAATGTTGCACAGTCCGTGCAAAGCTGAAGCAGAGCTATCCTTCTCTGAAGGCACGCAAGCATGGGTAAGTGTGACAGAGACTCCTTTTACGAAGCAAAATTAAAATTTCCATATGAATTTCAAGTGGAAGAAGGCGTTCTTAATTGCGGTTTTCACCAGAGAAGCGCAGCATGACTGTGGCTCTACGAATCCTCCAGAGCAGGTGCGTGGCGACAGGCCCAGGAGAGCACATGCAGTGAGAAGAAACTAGGTGGTTTACCTGCAAACAGTGCAACGTTGGCATGCTTGGCATCATAAGGGCATCTGGCCATTCCGCTGAATTCATCCCCGAAAGGTTCCAGAGTATCCATCTAAATGAAATAATAGGACTTAATTAGGAACAACGACAACCAACAGTAGTCATGGCAGCTATTATTTATGAAGCACGTAATGTGCTAAGTAATTCATATGCGTAAGTGCACATGATCCTCAAATACCCTCTGAGATAAGTCTGTTGGTTTCAGATGAGGAAACTGAGGTTTAGTGAGATTAAGTCACTTGACCAAGGTTCTCTGGCTTGGAGAGCCTGAGATTCAGTTGTATTTGCTTGCCTCTTAACCATTGTAGTAAATAGATTTCCAATATCCTTTTGAAATGACCTAGAAACATGCATCTTTTCCTTGGAAAAGGAATGTTTAAGGCAATCACTGGGAAAACTTCCTTCCCTCCCTCACTGCCTCTAAATGACCTGTTGACTCATGAACTCTGTAAGGAATGATCTCCATCTTTGGTTTTGTTTTGTGTGAGGAGTCCTGCCTTTTTGGTTAAATCCCAGTAGAAGACACTGGAATCCCCATCTGGTTAGCCTGCAGAATAGTATGGCATCAGTAAAGGAGCAAAAACATCAACGCAGTAAGAGCTCAGGTGGCCTTTTGCACCAACTTCAGAAACATGTCCCAGCCTCCAATCATGTAGATCAGAAGGAGAAGCCTAGAAGGTGAGGGGGGTCACACAAGTGAAACACAATGAGGTGTGGGGCGGCCATTGGACATCCATCTGTGTGCCCACCCTCGACCTCGTTCCTACGTGCTGGAGCTTGTAACTGGGCTGTCAGTGAGTTTTGTTAGGTATGTCAGGGAGGAAGGAGGGAAGGCATGAAGGAAGGAAGGAAATCAAAGGAAAAGAAGAAAGATAAGCAAGCAAGAGCTCTAGTTTAAAATAAGGAGACTGCAGATGACACCTGATTTCTTACTTTTCTTTCGAGCAAGTGGGAAAGTTAATTCAGGACCTTTTTTCCCAAGTGGCGGCAACCAGCCACAAGCTAAGTAATGGCCACTCTGCCATTTTTCCCAAACAAGCATATGGCTTTCAGCATCAAGGCCTCTTTACCCGTATGATACATGTACACCTGCTTGTCTTACTCCCGCAGGTACCTGCCTAGCTTCATGGACATTTGTGAGTGTGGCAAAGCCTTGCTAGTTGTTCAGTCACTCACCAGCTTCTGCTTCCCTTGCCCCCATCTCACACTGAACCACATTTCCACCCCCACCATTCCCCCTTGAAGTCAGGTGTGATCACATGATGAGCTCTGGCCAAGGGAATGTGAGTAGAAGCCTGCCTGCCACCTCTGGGTCTTGCCTCTAAAAACCTTCTGAGGTCCTCCACTTTTGCTTTCTTTCCACACACCACCCGCTAGATACAGAGCATCCAGTACAGCATTCCACGGTCCTAGGAGCAGGCAGAGGTAGGGGCAGGGAGAAACTTAGCATTCTGAAAAGCCTAGTGGGACAGACCCTCTGTCACTCACCTGCACTCAGCTGTGATGCGAGCAGTAAATTGGCCTCCCCTGCCCAGCCACTAACTTTCCTCAGAGGGTGGCCCCACCTTGGCCAGCACTTGGGTGGCTCTCGCCGTCTACCCCATGCTCTTCTTCCTCGCATTATGGGCTCTCCCCTGCATGTAAGTCTCAGTACCACAGGGTCCGTAAAGTGGTCTCCGCCACCTCATTAATGTTTTTAAACCTTCCGTGGTCCAGTCTTCTCTGTATAGTGTGAGAGTATTTTGTTTTCATCTGGCAGTTTGCAGTGTTTGACGACAGATATGAAACTGGGAGAATCTAAGACAGCAGTGGTGCTGAGGGGGGAACTCTCTGAAAGGCCTTTAGCACTCCATCACGGTGCCTTAGATCACAGTGTTTGGAGTCGTTGCCCAGGAGGAGAGTGAGGTGCTTTCTGAACAGCTGTTAGTGTTGTTCCATCATTGATGCTTTTTGCCCTGAACTCCCCCCCAGAAAACAGTTTCACGGATATGGCAGGACCTGTCTTCTGTAACCACTTTGAGAAAGCCCCTGTCTCCTCTCTCTGTTATCTCCTGCATCCTATTTGTTTAGTTGAGACGTCCTGTAGATGTACTCTTCTCCCCTCAGCACATTTTTATGAAAGTCTTTTTTTTTTTTTTTTAATATATTTTATCCCAAGAAGAGCATCCTGCTGGACTGTGACAGACTTTGTCGTCTGTGGGTCTGGCATGTCCTCAGAGGTAATGCTTAGTACACAGCGATGCAGCAGAAATGCCTTTATCCCAAGCAGTGCACGCTGTAATCCTGGCAATGGGGAGACAGTATACAAGGGAGGATTTAGGTTTTTAAATGAATCTACTTCAAAAAAAAGAAAAAAAAGTGGCCTTAGCTATAGCCAGTCAAAGGCAAGGAGCAGGGAAGTATTAATGTTTCGGTGTGTGAGTCTGGAAGGGTCCAGAGACAAAACAATGCCACGGTGAAATCCTCTTTCCATGAAGTTAGAACTAATCCTTGTGGTAGCCTCCAAATCTCAGACTTAACAGCAGCCCCTGGGAAATTAAATCACCAGAGGGTATAGATAATTACTTTTGCAGAAGTTCAAGAGGTTTGGAGAACAGGAAGGCCAAAGGTACAGAGTGAACTTTTAGATTTATAGTGGGCAGCCTTCAGAATTCCTTCCCAGGTCATCTTCTTTGGGGGCTGTAATCTTCCTAATACTTACTGTATTAAAAACTTTATGAATCATGGCATGGTGCAGAGGTAGAGACCGAAAATTCATCACCCTTCTGCTTCAAGTTATTATAATCAACTTGATGCTTTGGCACTGTGAGACCTGGGGTTTTCTTTTGTGGGGGGCGGGGAAGACTGGTCATCGTTTTTGCTTTGAACCTTTCATGTTGATCCGTTCATACAAAGTGCTTAAGGGACAGCGTGTCCCTGCAGTGCCCTGAGTCTGAAAACAGCACTTCTCTGACCGATGTCAAGGGTGCTTGCTACCACTTGCAGTGCTAGGCAGGCAGACAGACAGGCCTGTGCGGGAAGACCGTCCCGTGTGCGGTTTCCTGCGAGGCCCAGGCCCCTGAATGTGCCTCAGCAGAGGCGGCTGGAACAAGTGCGAAGTGGGAGGTGTCGCCCTGGGTGAGGCACCCCTGGAATGGAACGTGTGCGGGAAGAATGAGCTAGACCACTCTGGCCCGGGTATCCCTGTGCCGAGGAAGCCTGTAATTTGTCATGAAAGATAGCTTTCCAGCTAGGGAATTGGTTGGGAATTGTGAAAAGCATTAATCTTAATGAGTCCTAAACAATGACATACGGGGATGGAATATTAAGTGGGAGAATTAAAGTCACAACGTCAGCTGCACGCTGTCACTGGCCTGAGTAAGAGTGTGGACGGACTGCCTCCATTACAGACCGAACGGGTCCTGTCATTATTAAAAAGTTTGCTATTAGAGGGTAGTGTGTTCTACAGCAATTTAGATTTTGAAAAATACTGCGTTAAAAAAATCACTTAACCTTGGTATGGAATTCCCTTACTTCCCGTGCCTGAGGCAGGTGCCTCCCTTTCTTCACCCTAATCCTGGCCTTGCTCGTGCCATTTTCAAATTTAAGAGGGAAGATGAGCTTTTTGTGGGGGTCAAACAGACCCTCCCTTTGATGTCTGTGCTAAGGCTGAGGGTCTTTTAACACTGTCACACCAGGTGGTGAGCCTTCTGGTTTTGATATGAGCCCATCATTTCTCTGTCTTTCTTTCTTTCTTCTTCTTCTTCTTTTTTTTTTTTTTTTTTTTTTGAGACAGAGAAAGTGAAAGCAGGGGAGGGGTAGAGAGAGAGGGAGAGAATCCCAAGCAGGCTCCACACTGCCAGGGCGGAGCCAAATGCAGGTCTCGAACCCACAAACTGAGCCAAAGTTGGATGCCCAACCGACTGAGCCACCCAGATGCCCCAATCATTTCTCATCCCTCAGGGTTCACTTCATGCCTGGTGAAACCCAAATGTGTATTCTTCTCCCCATGTCTCTCCTTAAATCAAGACTAAGCCACCCATTTTCTCGTTAGCTCTGTTCCCGTTCTATCAGCAGGCAGTGCCACCCATCTGGAGCCGGGTGCCCTCCCAGTGCTCCACACTGAAGCCTCGGGTGCCTTCTCACTACCTGCCTCAGCCAGCCAGGCCGCCTTTCTGCTTCTGTTCCGTGTCTGAGCCCGTGGCGGCTCCATCCATCCACTCACCCAAGAGACAGCCTAGCAGTCATTCCTTACTCCTCTCTCTCCTTGTCATGTGCTTCTCATCAGTGCCTACATCCTGCTGGTTTTTGTTGCTTAAGTATTTCCTGAGTCTCTTCTCTCCCATTTATCCCCGGACCACCTCCCTCTCCAGCCTCCTTTTTGTTATAACTTGTCACTTCCCAGTCCAGCACTTCAAAACCAGGTAAAGTTTCTCAAGCTCAACAGACCGTTTCTTACTCAGTGCCTTTGTTCATGCTGTTCCCTCTATCTGGAATGCCCTTCTCCCTTCATTTGGCTAACTTAGACTTCCTTAAATAAAAAATTAGGTATCTCATTCACTCTTTACCCCACTAGAATTAGCAGAGCGCCTGTTCGGAGGTATTTGGGTCAGATTCTGGACACCCACAGACCTGGTGTCTGTACTCACTGAACTTTAGGGTGTCTTCTGGGCTGGAGGTGCTCATGTTCCATATGTGAGAACAGCAGGGGGAGCATTTGAAGAGAGGGGTCATCTCCCTTCTTCTAGAAGCTTCCTCAGATTCCTCATCTCAGGCTAAGGTTAGTACCTTTCTGACGTGACCCTGTAATGCTCTGCGTTATGTCAGGGCACAACCCCTTGGAATTGGGGGTTCTCATCTTCCTTAAGGACGGAGGCCTCCTGTTTGTCCTTATACCCCCAGTCAGTGCCTGGCCATTTGAGCAGCTCCATACGTGTTTGCTGAAAGGAAGTCTGAGGCAGAAAGAAGGGGCAAGGAGAGCTAACAAGTGAGGAGCCCAGACCTCAGATCACTGCCCTGCCTTCAGCCGGCGGCTCCTGCTGCTTTGGCAGTACGTATGAATGCTTCGACAGTTCGCTTCCCCCCCTTGCATAAAGGCCAGAGTAGGTAAAGCCACAGTCAAGTAAGCGGAGTGCTTAGGGGAATTAAATTTCTGTGTTCTTAGAAATCTTACCTAGAAGAAAGTCTACAGTTTCCAGTGGCGCACTTTTGAGATACCTTTTAAAATAGCAATCACTCCCAACAGAAGTGTGTTTTTGTGCTCAGAGAGGAGATGGTGGGAGGGAGGGAGGAAGGGAAGGGAGAAGAGGGGAAACCCACATGGTATCCATGGGAAAGTCTGCTGGTGTTCCTAACAATAGAGAATAGGGTCTTAACAGAAACGAACTTTGCTGGGCAGGCCCCCAAAAGGTGTGTCAGTCAGTCCTGTACAAACAGGAAGCTTAGAGGCCTGCTCAGGATCACTCGCGTGGAGCGATACGGTAAGTCCCAGCGAGCGAGACGCACCCAGATGGTGTTGAATTACCGTCTTAGGTCACTGCAGGTACAATCACAGTAAATTATGAAATACCTCCGGCCCTGTGTGGTCACGACAGACAAAACCGCATTTACCTTATAGTTTCTGCAGGAAGGATTGAAGGCATTAGTTCCACAGACAAACAAAGTATCTTCGTTTTTCTTTAGGAGAACTTTGATGAAGTTGTGACACTCATCCTGAAAAATAATTCAGACTCGTTTGTAGCCAGTCGGTTCAGTATAGAAAATGCGTTCTTTCCTGTGTACCACGATCTGTGGGCCATCAGGTTAGAGCGAAGGTGGCCGTGGGGCTCCCCTGTTAAAAACCTGCTGAGCCCCTCCTGACTGTCTACGAGAAGATGACGCTGACCGCAGTTGCTTTTGTAACAGTGGAAACATGGTGTAGACAGGAGCCAGTGTGTTTATGCCATGAAAGGAAGGCAAGCCTGGAAGTGCGAGCCTTCCATTATATTAATTTTAACGCCAGATGTCCCCGGGTCCCTTGATGTTGCAAGGCTCCCAGCTGAAGTATGTTTTTATGTTGGTCTAGGACTAAAGGCACAACCCCCTGCGTGTCTGCGGCAGCCTTTTTCTGAGCGCTGCCGTGGCCTCCCCGAGGGCTCTGGGCCTGTGTGGGGGGCTGGCGGACAGTGCATTCAGAAGGGTCGGGGCAGCCAGCCTTGCGGCCGTAATCCCAGGTGCCCCTAAGTAGTTCATGATGCAGCCCCAGCAGCTGTCGTAATATTTCATCACGTTAAAAGCAAACTATTTCTGCAAATTAAAGCCTTCAATAAGTTGATGGAAAAAGCAATTACTGAGGGAAAAGGGACTCTGACGATCCATTCCGCATCGTGATCTACGGCTGGAGATAACAGTCAGAAACTTAACCCAAAGTGGCAGCTGCAGGAGAAATGAAAATTGCCTACCTTATGTTTTCCCTTCATTCTGCATGTGTCTACATCAGCCTGTCTAGATTTCCATGTCAGTTTCTGCAGGGACCAAGAAAGAAATCAATTAGAGTCCAGAGGTGGTTGCATTTGATTTCAGAAGTAAGCGTTCCCTTGGGGAGATGGAGGCTGAACGTATATTTATTGAAAGCTTTCCTCACCCTTTCTCCATGATTAATTCACCATAACAACAAAAGATCAGAGATGGGAACCATTCATTTAATTTTGAACTCCTCTATCTATTCATTAAACTATGGCATGGTCTTCTCTTTTGAGATAAAGATGAAGGAGAGAAGGAGGAACAAACAACAGTGTGGAAATTTCACATAAAATATACAAATCAACATGCTAAATTACACTCATTTTGATAAAATACATGTCCTGGCCCTCTCCTTTCAGTTGATAAATCAGTTTTCAAAAAGCACGCTTTTTCCTTAAAATATGGAAGTCATTTACTTAAACATAAAGGGGACATTCACTTTAGGTGGACAAAGATTTAATTCAGGTTACACTCCACGTAAATTCATGGACTGAAGGAATCGTCTACTTCTGTGGCAGATTTTATTAAGTAAAATACCTCCATGTGGAGTTATAGGGGAAGCTTAGGTTATATTTTATGTCTGTCTGAAATGGATAATGATCAAATTCCTGAGCCACAACAGTCAAATCAAACTTAATACCTTAAGACATGGAAATGTAACATTGAAACATTTGTGGGGCAAAAATTTTACATAAGAAAACTGATATTTTCCTGGACAAACATGGCAGTATTTTATTAAAGGAATTTAGAAATGACCCAAAACTCCAAAGTTATATATGTACACATATTTGATGAATAAACTCTGAAGTATGTAACTGTTTTTGGCCATGTATTAGCCTCAAATTAGTAGGATTTCACAAAAAGTTCCAAATTATTAGCCATGTCATCTCAATCAATGCATTTAAAATGCATATTTCCTTCAAGAACTATCCTAAAGCTCATCATTCTAGAAAGATGGTTGCAAAACTACTTACTTTGTTACAATAAATTTCTTCTGTGTGTGAGGTGTCCATATCAACAGTATAAATATGGTCCCTGTAAACAGTGGAAAAATTAACAGTGTCAAACACAAGAGTCAAGATAGTTAGTTTTCTCTTGAATGAGTATGAGTATATATCTCATTCAAGGCAGATAAATCCATATCCATGTTATTAAAAAACGAGACATCCACATGCAAGAAAAAGGGAACCGCTCAGCCTACAAGAGGTGCCGACGGATAACACTGCTACTTCTGACAAATCATGGGATCTCTCTGGAGGGGGCACCTCTTAAAAAAAACTTCGCCATGGTGTCCCTCATACCAGAACTACAGTATCTGTATGTGAGTAGTTCAGGAGAGAGGACTCTGAAAGTTAAATGGACCCCAAAGCCAGAACACGGATGGGTTCACATGCCTTTACAACATCTTCAAATCCACATACGGAACACTTGATAGTCAGCATACCACATTCGTTCATCACAGGGGCTAACAAAAAGCTAATCTCTGGCTCTTTCTCCCATTACAAAATGTTTTTTCAGCCTTAGCTTTGATGATTTGATTGACAAGATGGGAGATGATGAAGGTGAAATTATTTCCAGAAAGCACTGTTTTCTTCACACAATGATGGTCAATTAAGGTCTAAAATGTACTTGAACTTAAGTTTACATCTCTTGCTTCTGTTCACCTTCTTGTTTTTGTTGAGAAATTTGGTCGTCTTTATGATTTGCTGCCAATCTCCCCCTGGAAGGGAAGAGACAGAATCGGCAGCTCAGGTGTGGGGCTATATTTAAACACCCTCTTCTGTGTGAGCAGAGTACAAGGGCGTTTTTGTCTGGAATTCAGAAGAAAGAAAAGAAAAGAACTACGTTCAACTAGGGAGATGGGGGACTAGTGAGGGAAAGCAAAACAGCTCGTTTTCCCTTGAAATAACATTATGCAGGAAGTCCTGGGGCTGGAAAATTACCCACAGCTTTCAACCAGGACCTCAAGGCTCCCACATGTAGACTTTCAAGCCCCCTCATTACTTAAGAGAAAGTGGAGGGAGTGGGGAAGAATAAAGGAAAGAAAGAAAAAAAAGAAAGGAATGATCTGCTGTCAGGATTCACTTTAATTTTTTCCCCCACGGTTCCTTGGAAATCTGTCTGCTACTGCTTTTAGGAAAATTACAACAGAGAGAAAGAGAAATCAAAACTGCCTCTCTCATGTGAAAATAAAAGTTGGGGACAAGGCGGTTGGCTTACAAAATTTCCTTGCAACTGTGAGCGTGTGAGCCTCTGTGTGTGTGTGTGTGTGTGTGTGTGTGTGTGTGTGTGTGTGTGTGAGAGAGAGAGGGTGGTCGAAGAGAATGGTGAGCCTGTTTTTTTTTTTTTTTTAAATTGCTGAATTGGGAAGTTCTTGGAACCTCGGTAGGGTGCCAGAATCACTCTGCCCTTTAATTTCAAGGCAGTTTTATTGCATTCTTTTATTACTTGTTTGACTTTATTGGTGGTGCTGTGGGTCAGGCTCATTATTGGGATGGAATTGCTTATTACTTCAGTATCAGGTTTGCAATGGCTCTAGTTTCTTCCTTGCCGCCTCTCCTCCAAAACTTTTAAGTAGGAGTGGAATATATGAATTGTAAAATAACAACTGATTAATATGTATTGGCAATTCCTCAGAAAGCTCTCGGATTGCCCCCTTCTGGCATAGCCTGTTTATGTTAATTAGCAGTTTTAGAGATTACACAAACAAACCAACAAAAAAAAATCTTCAAAATGGATAGTAATAAAGCAGAATTGAAAGGGGTCCCTGCCATCAAGGCTCACTCAATCTCTGGGTTCTTGGTAGGCCTTGGCTTCCGATTGCTGACACCGATTGTCTGGAAGAACCGGGAAGCCTTTAAAAGGTGGAATTCTGTGAATGAAATCTTTTGGACAGTAGCAGTCTTTTTCAACATCCAAGAGACCCACTGCCCAGCAAACAGAAACCGCGCTTTTGTGCTAAACCTAAGACCAGGGCAGAGGGCTAGTCCCAGCTACCTGTATGTTCATCTCAGGGTTCACAGGCCACTCTTATTGAATTAAGTTATTTGAACACAAACTGACTTAATCCAAAGACTTCCCTCTTCCCCCCTCCACTGAGCAAAACAATTGTCTTGCCCTGGTTTGAGCCTGGGGGAAGGATTAAAACTTTACATTGTGTCCCTTGCTGCCTAGGAACAGGGGTCTCTCTGGGCAGTGCTGGGAAATCGAAGGGTGAGGAGGGACCCTAAAGATGGTGGCCAGGGAGCTCTTTGAGTTTTCCCGGGGGTGTGGATTGAAGGGAAGGGGCTGCGTGTGTAGAGTGGAAGCCAACATGTCAGTGTGAGGGTGTTTTACAAATCTGACCTTTCACAAAAGGCAAGTCTGTTTTATAGTCTTTTTTTTTAATTCAATTTTTTAAGTTTAATTATTTTGAGAGGGAACACGCCAGTGGGAGAGGTGCACAGGGGGGGAGAGAGAGAGAATCCCAAGCAGGCTCCACACTCACTGTCAGTGAGCCCGACCTGGGGCTCGAACCCGCACACTGTGAGATCATGAGTCGGACACTTAACCAGCTGAGCCACCCAGGTGCCCCAAGTCTGTTTTATAGTCTCAAAAAAGCCATGAAATTGTGTCTCTCCTTTCTTCCCTTACGTTTCTGCTCTCTCCTTTCCGGGGAATGAGGGTTAAGATAACAACGGTCTTGGTTTTAACAGGCTGGGCTAATGGTCACTTTTTAAGTTTGCGTGGCACTTTGCTCCTAACTCTGGTGCCACCCTGGACCTGCAGTCCACACTCACATTAATTCATCCGGTGTAGGGGCAGTCTGCTAGAGACTCAGTTACAAAGTGAATCATTCACAGATTCTTGACTCCAGAATATCACAGATCCAGTGTGTAATCATTTGTTTTGACCTGCCCATAGATAATTGGGTACAAATGTAACCTTCCAGCCCTGCTACATTTAGGAAACTAAAAATGATCCTTAAGAAGGACCTAATATTCTTTTTCTAAACATTTAATAATTTTTATTTTATTTTTATTTTAGGGAGAAAGAGAGCATGATTGGGGAAGAGGGGGCCAAGGAGGAGACAGAGAGAATCTAAAGTGCCCCCCCAACATGGGGCTCGATCCCATGACCCTGGGATTATATCATGACCTGAACCGAAATCAAGAGTCAGATGTTCAACCGTCTGAGTCACCCAGGTGCCCCAGAAGGACCTGATATTCTACCAGAGAGGCACCTGCTGAGAACCTTATGAGAATGCTTTCTAATGAATACCCACACTGGCTAGGTTCTTAGACATCAGCTGTTAGAAGGGTACTGCCAGACAAATAGGACCGGCTTTCCTACTTAGTAGGCTGCCTAGTACAGGAAGTAAATCCCCAGATTCTAGAGCAAGGCCACCCCATTTCAAATCCTGCCTTTGCCGTCTTGGCCCAGACATTTCACCTTTCTGTACCTTGCTTTCTTCCTGTAAGACATGAAGATAATAATAGCTCTTTCACCTAAGGTTGGTTTTTTTCCCCTCCCCTCCGGGATTGAATGAATTAACATTTATAAAAAATTTACATAGTATGACTTATATAGCTCGTACAAGTAGTATATACCCTGTAAGTATTTGTGAAGTAAAATTGTTAAAGTGTTTTGGCATTGCTCCCTGGGATACTCGTAGGGTATTTTAATGTGGCCAGTGGCTTTTGCTTTATGTTGCCTAGCTTGTCATTTTACAACACCTAAGTGCTTTGGAAGAGTCATGCACTGTTATTTACCTGTTGCTTATCTATGTTCACAGTCATACAAGTATCACAAACATAGTGTCTATGTCTTCTTCCCAGTGTGAAGTGATTAATCAGTCTAGACCCAAGATCACAGTGGAACCCCACAAAATAGTGCTCTTTGTCACTCTCCATTTAGAATTATTTTGAATGAGCCATGTATCTCCAAAACTGGGAACCATATATTGTTAGAAAAACAAGGGGCTTCTTTTTTTTAAATTCTTTTCCTTGGGGTGCCTGGGTGGCTCAGTCGGTTAAGCGTCCAACTTCGGCTCAGGTCATGATCTCACAGTTCGTGGGTTCAAGACCCGCGTCAGGCTCTGATGACAGCTAGCTCAGAGCCTAGAGCCTGTTTCGGATTCTGTGTCTCCCTCTTTCTCTGACGGTCCCCTACTCATGCTCTCTCTCTTTCTCTCTCAGAAATAAATAAAACATTAAAAAAATTTTAATAAAGTAAAATTCTTTTTCTCAATGTTTACTTAAGGGTCAGAGAGAGAGTGGGAGACACAGAATCTGAAGCAGATTCCAGTCTCTGAGCTGTCAGCACAGAGCCTGATATAGGGCTTGAACCCATGAACTGTGAGAGCATGACCTGAGCTGAAGTCAGATGCTTAACCAGCTGAGCCACCCAGGCACCCCAATCCTAAGGGACTTCTTAACCTAAGATCTCATTTGACATAGGACACGTATGTCTAGAGAAGTTATGGTCCAGTTAAGTTAAGAATAGAATTACGACAAAAGCCTAAAGTCCATGTGAGCATTGTTTAGGCTGTATTCTTACCCTGCCATTCAGCCTTAAGACATGGTTTGTTTAGATGACATTACCCAATGGAAGAGTATTTTCTTACTAGATCCAAATCAAAACCTTTCTACTGCCATTCTATGACAGTAATGAGATACACCATACATTCACTACAAAAATACTAACACATATACACACATCCTATATAATTAATGTTTACACATTCAAGTTAATTTAAGTATCATACTGGTTGCTTCAGATATTTGCATATATGTTCAGGACAGTGGCTTATTTGAATCTAAGCTCCAAAATATGCAATTACTTCAACCTAAATCCACCTACAGTTAAATAGACACAGAAAATCTTGAAAGAATGATGGCTTGACAAAGTAAGGTAGCCTTTAAATTAAATAACATTTGTTTGGGAATGTCATGATCTTTAAAACGAGGTATCCCGGGAACACTCGGATCTCAGGACTGTCATCAGAAGCTTTGAGGGCATATGTGAGGACAAGGCCACTCACCTAGCAGCAATGTAGAGGGTTCTATTCATGATCATAATCATCTGGATGTCCAGCCTGTGCCTCTGTGTGGTGTTCCGTCCTGGCTTGTGGCCCACAAACACCGGATACTGTTTTGTATCTGTGAAAAGAAGAGATGGGGCAAGAGAAGGAAAGGAAATCAAGCCAAGAATTGACAGGGCCGGGAGAGGAGGGGGGCCCGGCCACAAAACAAAACCATATTTGAGTCAGTCCATGCCACCACTTTCCATTTCCAATGAGTCTGTTATTTTAGGAAAGCCTGTGATAGACAAGTGCTCTGTAAGGGACGATCAAGTTACAGTTTCATTTCCAGATGATAATAAGCCTGGACTTCTGTTTCTGAGTGTCACAATTTCTGACTTGTCCCTCTTTCTGGGGGTTAAACTTGCAAGTGAACCCTTTACATGAAGGTGCTCTTTTCTTCCCGTTTTCTTTTCATCTTCTTTAGAGTGCTAAGCCCGAGGGGCAGCCTGCCAAAGATCTTGTCTCCGGACAAAACTATTTCAAAGCAGCTTTCCCATCAATCACCACAAAGGCAATGTGGTCTGGAGGCGAGAGCCCTCATCCAGGAGCCAGAAGAAAAATACAGTCTCCACAGGCGTCCAGTTGGAATAATCTACTATTGAAGGCAGCCCCGCTAGGTTGGTTGGCATTCTAGGAACTGTGGGAAGTTCACTCTTGAGTTAAGCAATTGGCTTAATCTCACAGAAGTGGGGGCTTGGACAGGACAGGGTCACACTGAGTGTAGCTGGTCGGCTGATCTGGAATTTTCCCTGACTTGGAGAGTCAGTGAACATATTTCTGCTTTCCTACAGCTCTCTTTAGCTGAGAGCCGGCAATTTGTAATAATACCTGACCTTTAGAAATACCTACATCTCAAAAATCTCTCTGCCTTAAACCTATAATCTCCAGAGCACTGGCAATCCTCCAGAGAAACTCAAGAGGAAAGAAAGATGAGTCACGTTTAAAAATGCTTTTTGGGGTGGGGTGGGGTGTAAATACTAATTTGAAAACCATTCAGATTTATGCTCAGATCCCTACACTTAAAAAAAAAAAGTTTAATTTTGAGAGAGTGCACATGTTATGCGAGCAGGGGAAAGGCAGAGAGAGACACAGAGAGAGAATCCCAAGCATGCTTCATGCTGTCAGTGTGGATCCTGACACAGGGCTTGATCCCACAGACTGTGAGATCATGACCTGAGCCAAAATCAAGAGTCGGATGCTCAACCGAATGAGCCATCCCGGGGCCACAGAGAACCCACCCCGCCACGTTAAACCCCTGCAGTATCTGAGCACTACTCACAGTGGGTTTCAGAGAGTAAAATGTACCTTGGTATATCAAGTTTCCTGTGGGATTATCTTGTGCTTCCCCCTGCACTGCTCTGAAAAGTCTTTTACCTGTTCATCAAGGAGCTCGCTACAACAGTTCACGTCTCTCTCCTATCAGGAATGTGAGTGTCCGCTAACACTGGATTTTCAGCAGCATATTTGCACTGGGGTACTTCGTTATGAGGGCACTCAAGATAGAATGCCCATCTTAATTAAGAGGTTAAGATATGTGTATTAAGGTGTGGTACCTTGAGTCAGGTCGACTGCCACTTTAAGAACAGTGATTTCGAACGACACAGTTTGGTCCTCAAATCATGCCCAGACTTTTGTTTGCTTGTTATTTCCTGTGTCAAGTCTTGCCACTTCCCTTTCATGTAAAATTATTTCCCTTTTCAACCTAGACTGTCCAGCAGAAAGCCAGGCATTGATGGATCTCCTTGGTATCCCATTTAAATGCTAAACACCTTCCTTATGGTTTCTTTAGTGTTTGTTTTGGGGTGATTACTGGGAAAATAGATATTTGGGTAAACGACTCTCTTTCACCTTTACTGTGATAAAATATTTTGTCTTTTGGTGGGAAAGAAAAAAGATGTAGTTACTTGGCTGTTCCATCCCACACACAGGTAGGACTTTCCTCGAGTAGTCAACTGAATTCTTAATCGTGTGGTATTCTCCTCTTGACAATGAAGCAGAGACCAAAAGAAAAGTTGTAAGTAGTTAAAATAGGTCCTCTGTGAATTTAGAATCACTCTTAAGTCTACCAATGATAGAAGTTCTAAGTGTAGACAAAAAGTTAATTTTTGTCCCTAAGTACTCCAAAAACAGTCTTATTTCCTGTTCTTATCTTGTAACAATGCCCATGCATTAGCTACATATGAAAACGTGCCCCACTGGCAATCCCCAGAAGGTAGTGACACTTTCCCACGGCAGGTTTTCGGGCATGATCATGGCTTCCTTGCAGTGACCGGAGGCTTCGTCAGAGGTACTCAGGAGCGTTTCCAGTCCGCACACACGTGTTCACATGTGTGTCGCTGCAGCAGTGTTCAACAGAGTTACAGAACAGCCATCTCACCGATTTGATGAGACACCTGTCACCTACATGTCAAAGTGACTAACAAGTGTCCTGTTGTATTAAATTTTAGAAAATTTTGATGTTTTGCTGGTTGTTGCAGCCTACAGTGCCCACCGAGGGAGACAAGGGTAGTGAGATTGTGGATACTTACAGTTGCCATGCGAAATACTGATTGGCTCAGAATCTTCTGGGAAACCAGCCCCAGCAAAGTGTAGCAGTGTGAAATATAGCAGCAAGGCTTCTGGCCTCATAGTAGTTCAGCGGGGAGACTTTATTTCTCTACTTCACCCTGCCAGAGAGCAAAGAAAGAATTTCTTTTTTTTTTTTAATCTCTTTTTTTGCAAGTCAGCTTTATTCACCTCCAGAAAATGAAATGGCCTTGAAGTTAAATTTAAGAGAACAGGGGCCTCAGCTTGGTATCTTTTCCATTGTGAGTTCACGGATTATTGTGTTTTTACGTAGGACACATGTAATCATTACACACCGTGCATGCTCCTTCTCCATGCACCTGAGCCCAAGGCAAAGCTGCTTCCAAACACATGACCCTGAGTCTGAGTTCCTTTGTCCTGAGCCATTTTTAGGCCATTAAAAGTGGCTATTTCACAATTATTGCATTCTAAAAAATGTGGACAACTGAGAAAGCATTTTGTGTTCAATGTAAATACTTTTCTTCTGAGCAGGTTTACAGCAGCATGCCATCTGCCAGACATCTTCTATTTGGCCAGATCAGGATCTTTCAAGAATTTAGAGTAGTTGTCAGTATTGGAAAAACTAGGAGGTGGTTTTTCGTTTTGTTGTTTTAGTTTTATCTATTTATTTAGAGAGCATACACGCATGAGCATGAGTGGGGGAGAAGCAGTGAGAGAGGGAGAGAGAGAATCTCAACCAGGTTTCTTTCGCACCTGGTAGCACAGAGCTGGACATGGGGCTCAAACTTGTGAACTGTGAGATCATGACCTGAGTTGAAACCAAAAGTTGGATGCTTAACCAACTGAGCCACCCAGACACCCCCCAAAATTAGGTTTCTAATAAAAATCGGAATATCTGACATACTGACCTCAAGTGACAGTTCCCTTCAGGCACCACACCTCAGAAGAGACACACACACACACCCTGTACTGGGGCCCTGTTTGCTAATTTCTGTTATCTGCTTGACCCCTTAGTTGAGATATTCACCCTTGATTTATACAATTCCACAGTAATTCTAGAGTGACCTTAGACATAAATAAAGTCACACAGTCTCTGTTTAAAAGAAACAAATGGATCCTTTAGACTCTGAAAAATACTGTAGGGAGGATCTGAAACCACATCCTATGGTCGTATTGTTGATTTAAAAAAATCCTATTCCTGTATATTTTAGTCTCAAATACTGCCTTACAGTGAAACAGTAGTGACTAAAAATGCCAGATATACTGTTCTGCCCAGCTGTATTTTCTTAAAGATGCTCTTTATGTGTAGAAAATTCTCCTAAATCTTAGAAGTAAAAGCTATCCCATGTGGGGCTGCTGGATACAGTGAAAGAAGACTCGTAATACAGTAAATATCGCATAATTCTCAGGCATATTTCAAGTAAGTGTTGATCTATCAGGAAAATAATGTAAAATGGGGATATCTTTTCATCTTTCCAAAGTGGTAAAGCCTTTGAAGTAGCCTGCCAAAGATTTGAACAAAGCTATTTTACAGTAGTCCATCAATCATTTAAGATTTGTGTGCAGAAAAGTCAAACTTAGTAACTTAGACGTCTTTGAAAGTTAATTTGGCAAACAAACTGCTAACGTAACGCTTTTTAGAACACCACTTAATATTAGATACCTGTGTCTCTCTTCTTCATGCCAAAAAAAGCAGTAACAAGTCCCGGAGTGTTGCATTGCAACTTAACGATTTCACAGACACAGCTGGGGCTTAATCATTTCTTCAGTTGAAAAGTACACATTAATTAATTTACTTTATCTTGAAAAAGAGGGAGAGAGCTTGTGAGCAAAGCCCGAGCAATTTCATATCTCCCATCTCTGATGTGTAGATTAAAATTAAACCCTTAAATGATGACTTGCTCACAAGGGCAGTCCATTACTGAGAGACATAAACATGTATTTATAGACAGGTTAAAAGCAATCATCTGTTCATGCATTCATTTGCCAGTTCTAGTTCTTCCTATTCTGGAGAAACTGAACCCAAAGGGAAGAAGCTCTGAGGTCCCCTTATTTGTCTCTCATGGGGTCTGTTCAGTTTAACACTAAAGAGGAGAAATCAATACCAAGAGTAAGTAAGACATAAACCAGATACCAGTCAGCTGTTACACTCTTAGATGAGGAAGTACACAGGGAAAAGGAAGTGGCAACATTTACCCAGGGCTCAAGAGCAGTATTATTGTATAATACAGAAGCATATTACCTCGGAGAGTTTGCAGCACATCATGGAAGAATGATGGAGACTCAGAACACTGATTGTCATTCCTTTAGAAATCTTGGGGAATATATGTATACTTTTATAGACTAATTTGTCTTGACATGACAAATGAGTCCCTAGCCTTCCACAATTGGCATTCATCTTCGAACAAATGTCCTACAAGCTAACGAGACCAAGTCCTGCTCCCAATTTTCATGTTTCCCATCCTAAGAGGCCAGGGGTAGACGCAACATGCACAGTACCCGAAGCTGGTGGGCAGAGCAGTGCTCGCAGAAGAAACCCATTATGCACTTCAATGGCTGCTTTGAATCCTTAACACATAGCCAGGATCGTGGCTGAGATGGGTTATTTAAATATCTCCAGGTTTACAGTAGGGCTGTGTGCCAGGAAAAATAGCTGTTTTATATGTCTTTCTGTCGTCATATCATCAGGTTGTTAACATGTACATCATATGGGAGAAAGCGTTCTGGCAGTACCGCGGGCAGCCCGCACGAACACCTTGCAGTTGTCTTCAGTTGCGGTGTTGATGTGCTATCCCCTTCCAACCCAACTTGGGGCTCTAACCCTTGCAAATATGCGGAGGATATATCTTCTTGTTGAAACCATTACTTTGTGGAGAGACCCCAAGTCAGTCGCATTGTCATTTCCTGTTCTGCAGAGCATGGGCTGTGTCTGTCTCCCTGCTAAGACCACGGCAGTGCGGAACCAAAACCCAGGCAGGAGCTTGGCGCGGGGTTTAAAACTCTGAACCTCGCCGGGACACTGCGGTTAGACAGGTTGTTTAAGTAGTTTTGGAAACTTTGAAAGTGCTACCCATGTAGAGCATATTTATAGGTCTCTGCACACATTTGCCCATTTCCCTCTCTGTGACTCTGCATACAGAATGCAAATATGATTTCGGTTTCAGCAAATATCCAGACATTTAGATAATGGTAAGGCTGTTCAATGTGAGGATTCCAAGCAAAAACATCTACTTTGAAAGTAAGCTTATCCTGTCTGAATTTTCCATCTAATTGTCTCAACTTTCCACAATTCTTAGCCTGAAGAGAAATGGCCTTTGTAAAATGCACCATTACTATGAAGTTATAATCCTCGTCTCTCCAACCTATAGTATTTGTGGAAAACCTTAAGAGTATTCTTAATTTCAATAGGCATCTGCTTGGTGAATTTATTAGCTCTATTTAGATTCATCTAAAATTGATGACCTGACTTTACTCTGAGTCACATGGGCAGGAATTGTGTTAACTTACTACACAGGATCAGCCCAGATACAAATTCTCTTCTTTTTTTTTTAAACTTTTTAAATGTTTTAGTCATTTCTGAGAGAGAGAGAGACAGCATGAGCAGGGGAGGGTCAGAGAGGGAGGGAGACACAGAATCTGAAATAGGCCCCAGGCTCTGAGCTGTTAGCACAGAGCCCGATGCGGGGCTCGAACCCACGAACCATGAGATCACGTATGACCTGAGCCGAAGTTGGACGCTTAACCAACTGAGCCATCCAGGTGCCCCACAAATTCTCTTTTACTGTAATTTTTCCCTTACAGTTTTTAAGACCAAATTGAGTAACGGAGCCATGGCATGTGACTGGTGTGGCTGTTGGCTCCCGTGAGCTCAATGGTCTGTGCAGAATGCCGACTGGCCAGGAAAGCAGCCTTCAGTATTCCAGATCGAGGGCCAAACCAAAGGGGCTGAAAGGAAGCCTGTCTGAAAGTCTCATGACTGCATTTGTGTTGATACTTAGTTTTTAAAATGAATAAATATTTTCAGGAATTGGTGCTTCCATCCACCTCTCTTGCCTGTACTCTTGTCATACAGCAGGTCCCTGTGGCAGCAAAGCATGAAACAAAGGGGATGTCACTAGAATTGGGAATGATTATGAAGTCAGAGAATGAAGAATTGCCACATCTTACTTCTGATTCATCAGGTAAATAAACCTGATGAATAAGCACCATGAGCACTGGGGAGCCATGACGAGCCTATGCAGCCAGAGTACCACTCATGCTTAACCGTGGATACTGGTTCCAATCCTCTGCCCAACCATTCCCTCAGTTCCTGCCCTAGAAAATTCTGCTCGGGTGCACAAACTGGTATGTAGGACTTGGCCAAAGGTTGGCTCACAGAGCAGGGAGCAAACAAACAAACAAACAAACAAAAACCCCCTAAATTAGTTGCCAACATTCAGGGGAAAAAATCAGATTTAACGTACAACTCTGGATTTCTGGCTTCTTAAAAAAAGACAAATCTGAGATCTGGCTTTGCTCTGGAGCCCAGCAGTGGCTACTTAGATTACAGCGGCTAGCCCTCTGCACTTGGAAACATTCCCCCCCTCGCCTCCCCGCAATGTTCCATTGTCTTAGGAAGCCTCTCTACCTGCTGACCTTACCTCACCTGTCTGACCCCCGAGGCCTCGCCTCTGCGGGCCACCTCCATGCCCAGGAAAGTCACAGCCCCTCTGCTGCACAAGCTATTCTGCTTGTTTTTACTGCATCCACAAGCAGCTGTGTGTCAGTCTTCACAAATGAACCCAGTGGGACCCAGTGTCTGTACACTCGAGTGGATGGATGGATGCTGCTCATTTTAAAGACTCAAATGGGCTGCTCCACACGCTGCCGACCCATGCACCTGCAGCATGGTGTGCTTGCCCTTGCACCTGGACTTGGCTGTATGGAGACACCTTGTGTAACAGTCTTCCAGAATGTTGGCATCCAGTGAACGTTTCAATAATACATGGCAATGATGAGAAAAATAATTTACCTGGAGACTTGCAAATGCAAAATGTTCTTGATAAGAGCGTTTAAGTGTCCTAGAAATAAAGAGGAAGTGATGGTAGTGGCAGGTTTTTTCCCCACTATTATGCAAATCATTTACTACCAATGTTTCAGG